TTATGTTCTATGAAGTCTGAACATAAAAATGATAGCCCAATTTATGCATTTCAGAATACAAAATACAAGATGCTACAATTTTAAGTTCAAGGGGAGAAAGAGGGAAAATAGGTACCTGCGTATCAGGGGCGTTATCATCAATGAAGGGGGCTGCAAGGCTGATAAATGATGCCTCACCTACACCAACAAGCCTAAGAAAGAAAAAATCTTATGAGTAAGATCAGAAAGATATGCTGAACAAGGGACATAATCAAATTAGACTTACATCCGGGCAATGGAAATGGACCAGAAACCCCATGAGCACGCACAGCCAACTATAGCAATAGTCCAGACCAACAATCCAACTCCAATTAATCTAAATGGATTCACACTGCAAAGACAAAAGAGGAAAAAAAAAGAACCATACACACTATCATCAGTCTCATCATACAGCTTTATGAACATCAACAGTAAATAAATTTATCCTAGTACAGCTATCCTTACAGATGAAAGATGCTAATTTGCAGATTTCTGTCCATTGGATTGCAGAAAAAGCAACTTTGGGGTGAAAACCAATAGGTTGGGTGAGATTTGGGCAAGGTCAGCTGGGATTTGGTTCAGCCTCGGGCCCTTGGGTCAAGGCATGGTAAGATTGTCAACAATCAATATAAAGTATCTTAACTTTGGGATGATTATTCGAGTAAGTTTGATTAGGTCTTCTTAGGAGTATGTTCATGTGAGAAGGTAATAAGACAAAAAAAATCAACAAAATTTGACATAATATGGGCAATTGGGATTTATTGTGTACATGTACAGTTGTGCACACGTGTGTGTGTGTGTTTTTTTTTTTTTTTTTTTTTTTTTGTGTGTGTGTGTGGGGGGGGGGGGTGTCAGATTTTCTTTTGTTCAGTGAAGTCACAACTTTCCAGCTCAAATTATAAAAGTGGTCAGCGCCCCAGCTTCTTCAACCAATATATATTCCAAGAGTCTTTGCGAGAAAGAAGAAAAAAAAAAAAAAAAAGCACAATTCTGATATTGAAGCAGAACGCATAACTACCCACCTCTTTGCTAAAGTAGCAAAAATAGGGGAAGCCAACAGGAGTCCAACCATGAAAGCTGATGATAGCACACCATCTTCAAAATTGCTTAAGTTGAATTCTCCCCTAGAAGGCAAGACAACAAGATCCAATCATTAGAAGACATAAAAAACAAGGTCAGTAGTGATGGCTAACAAATATCCATTCACAAACAGGGTATGCCCCAAAAGGGCACAACGAATAATTAAATACCAGCGAGAAGACAAATATAGTCCATTTATGTCATTCAAGATCTAACATGTGAGAGACAATAATCAGACGGTTAAACTGAAATAATACTTGTTGATTTAAAAAATGCCAAAATAGACACTGTTCTGTACTCAAGGATTCATGTGTGTACAAGTGCAGGCAGCGCAGCTAAATATGAATGCACCCTGTCCCAATTTCATATTGTATACTCTTTTCCCATCAGTCAATTACACTATCAAGAAATGTGGATTACAGGCAAGCTAATTATTTATGCACCTATTTAGGTAGCGAAATAAAGGCTCTAACAGACTTCCAAATACTAAATTCAGGAGACCACTAGTACCAAACTCCCATTTACAAAATCATCTGATTCCAATATTAAGCACCATAGTCCCCGACTTCGTTCCTCAGAGGGACAAAGAATCACGAGGACGTTTCAGCAAAACATGTGAAAAGGAATGTCCGAAATAAATGTCAATGTCGACTTGTACACCAATGTCTGATCCACCAGTGAGCTAAATTAGAAAGAGAACTACTAACACACTGCCTCACCATTTTATTATTCAAACATTGTCGAATCATAACAACATTGAGTCCTAATATCTCAACTCCGAAGCAATACAAAAACTAGAAGTAGTCATTATATAGAGCTTACTGAATTCCACTGCCACCAGAGCATTTGCCACCAGAGCAAGTCTTGCGTTCGCCATTCACACCATTGCTAGCAATTGTTCCTCGATCCAAGTAATTTATCAAGTTAATCACACAAAATAGTGCCAGTAACCTGCATAAAACACACAGTGAGCTCATACATCGAAATTCGCAGTATACCCAATTATCAAAGACAAAGGAAGATCACACAATCCAAACAACACATTTCCAATTCTAGAGAAGCATGCATTCACCACAAACACTAAAACCTAATTTTGGGTTGCAATTCGTGGTGATCGGACTTTCTACTCTACACCAATTTTACCCTAATTTCTCAAAGCTTATCTTCTACTAACACCAACATTTCACCCAAAACCTCTCTAAATTCAACATTATGATCAGCTAACAAAAACCTCACATGTTTACACAAACCCATCAAATCAACACCTCAAACAAAACGAAAAAAAAAAAAAAAAACCAATCACCCAAATCATAAATCTTCCTCACAAATCAAATCAAACACCCAAAAGATTGAAGAAAATTGCAAAACCCCAAAATCATAAACAATTATAAAGTCAAACACCCAAAAAAAAGGAGATACCTTTTAGGTGTAAACCAAGAAGGCTGAAGAGCAGAATTTCTGACATCTGAAACCACCATTTTTTCTTCTCGAGTTTTTGGTTGTTCTTCACCAGTAACAGCAACAACAACTGAAGAATTCTTTGAATCTTCTTCTGCTGGTTTTGTCTGTTCTTCTTCTCCCATCTATGAATAAGCCCACCCACCAAAATTAAATAAAAAAAAAAAAACAAAAAAAGAGTAAAAAATTCTCTTTTTTTAATTTTAATTGATTTTTTCTGGGTAATTGAATTGACTTCAGTGGTACTGAATTTCTGAATCACGCAATCTGATGTGAATGGTAGGTTGAAATAATCAGAAAAGGCAATTAAAAAAACGACCCCTCTTAATTTTTTGAGCAATTAATGCGAAAAATATAAAAAAAATTTGGAAATTTTATCTCTTTAAAAGTTTACCTATAATAGATCAAAGAATTTAATCACCCATCTCTGATGTCGCTGTTTATGATAATTTAGTTTATTTTTTTAACAGAAAATTGATTATTTTACGACCTTCTTTTGAAAAAACACAATAATCTTTTGGAAAACTATAGCAAATAAAATTCAAGGTGGGTCAAAAAATTAAAATAAAAAAATAAATAAAAGAAGAAACGATAACGTAGGATATTGCGGAAGTTGTGAAATGAATTTGGATTCTTTACAGTTTTCTGAATCATACTCTAACCTCGTCATTTGGGTTTATGAATTATGATTGCTGTTTTTGTATTCACGTCATCACGTGTAAGTTTAGTCAGTTTTAAGTTTCACCCTCCGTCTTGTTTTACTTTCTATAATCTGTAGACACGAGTAAACGCGTTTATTAATGCATGATTTTAAATATTACTCGCTATGTTTTCAATAACCTATATTAATTAAAAGACAAAAGCTAATGAGCGTCTCGGGACGTTAGATAAGAGAGCTAAATATGAAAATGTTATAGTGAAATTAACATTAACTACACCGATCGACGCGTGATTTTGTCATACATTCCGAAGTTAATACTATTTTAAGTAATATATTAATCTTTTATCTAACGCCATGGGACGCTTGTTAGCAAGATCCTAATAAAAAAAAAAGACGACTATATAGCTATTTTTGTTTCAAGTAAGTATAAATCACAAAAGAAAATTAAAGTAACTTATTATCAATATGAAGTATCGTATTTGCAATTGAGTTAACCTAGATAAATGGTTAATATAATGTCTTTACAATTTTGATTTACTTGTTTTACCTCATTATTACTATAATTTACTCATTGTCATGTTCATAATCCTTCATCTAATTATCTCGATCAATGTACATTTAATTTTAGTGTTTTGGACCGGTTAGATGGACATTTAATTTTAGTGTTTTGGACCGGTTAGATGACTAAATAAAGCTTTAGATAAAATTGTGACAAATTTATAAACAATATTACACTTTTCACAAGGTCATTAGGTCAAATTAGAAGTAGGTATTATAAATGTAAAATTATATGTATGTATTGAGACGACTTGTTTATAAAAAAAAATTAGTTGATTTGAAGAGATTTTGTCTATAAAACTAGCATATTTGATTGTTTAAAAAAAAAATAAAAAAAAATAAAAACAACATATTTGATAAATTTTAGGCTTTTTTTTTTTTTTTCCATTATTTAAGGAAATCGTTCTCTTATTCTTCTTAATTGAAATTCACTCTAGTCATTGGAGTAGGATTACTAGAACTTTTGATTATATTGATGATCTAAAATTTTCCTACTTTCCCTATCTTATGAAAAAGGTTACATTCGTAGGTTAGGGCAAAAAGAGCAACTACATTGAAAAGACATTAAGCATGCACCGTAAAGGGGTTGCATAGTTGCATGATTGAGGATTCTAGTGGTAGAAAAAGGCAAGGAATACATTATCAACATCATATAGGCATCATTTTTTTGTAATGAGAAATGACAACTGCAATACTATTAGAATATGAGGAAAAAGGTCAACATTTCTTGGTAAAAATTTCATCCCACTTTTGATAGTGGTAGAATGCTTTTATTTGAATGGAAAGTATTCTCTTTTTATTGGTGAATTTTAGCTACATTTATTAGGCTAAAGAAGTAGGAGTAACTACTAATCAACTCTCATCAAGAAATGACTCTTTTCTATAGTAGTTAATCTCTTGATCAACATTCATGCATTAAGAAGTAGGTTGGCAAGTTTTTTTGGGGAATGAATGAGTGAAAGGAGATGGAAATGAGATAAACTGTATGTGCGGACTAATATGACCACACACGAAGACACAATAGTAAACTTGTTTTGGTTGCACCTAACTATACGTAAATTTGTATGATTTACTAGTACACTTATCACTTTTTGTTCGGTTGTGCCTTAGCTTGTAGATGGTAGGACGTACCCATGGCTTAAAGTTGGTGTAGGAATCGGTGTTCACCCAATTTAAAGCCAAGTGTTTTTCCTATACCTAGCTATAACACAAAGCACTTTGTCAATTTATCATAATTATGCGCCTTTCTTACTTGCCTAAACGAAGTTTTTAGGCAAACTGAAAGACAAAATCAATATAAAGTTTAAGATTTTCACTATTTACATCAAAATAATTCCATCATTGTATCTTATCCTACATTGGTCGCAATAATAAAATCATCATGAAAAAGTTACATTCCGGAGAAACTCTATAATTGTATAAGAATAGTAATAGAAGTACATTAATCACAAAACAATACAACATCATGTACAAAATTTGTCTGATTTTTCACATCCTGTCATTTGGGGACTTGAGGGAAAGATTATCACTCTCTTCGCCTTTAATCACTGAATTGTTCTCACTGCCCATTTTCAAATAAGAGACACCATCGTCCTCAACGTCTGAAACATCATCTTCACTCAGCTGAACTGAATCCGAAAAGCTATCATCAGTATCAGCAACTCCCGTTGATTTTGGAGTGATCAAATCTGTAACTCGAACCTTTTGAGACAAGAAAAATAGAATTGGTTGAGGATTGTTTCAACAGAAAAAATAATGGAAGAAAATTGTTGTAATGGACAGAATTTTGCAGAACTAATTTAAAGCTCAGTTACACTTACCTGCACAGGCTGCATTACACTGTATTCTTGATCTTTAGTTTTGTTCACTGTGTCTTGAGCATTAATCTCCATGGAATTTCGGACAAGTTGACTCAGGAAATCTACATCATCAGACATTACACCGAATCCTTTAAGAAGCTTGGAGCCGAGCTGTAAACTTGTCTGTTCACAGAAAGACAACCAACAAGTACGATGTTACCCTCTAGCGGAGCAAAACAAGTTAGACAAATTGATAGCCATATTACACAGATGTTTACCTCTGCATTCTCAATAATTGCCTCAGTTGCACCTGATTTTTTCAAATCCAACAGATGCTGAAGATCTTGGGCTCTAGCATATATTGGGACCTGTTCTGTACAAACTTTGTCAGGTCAAGGATATATAACTGTCTCTCCATCTATCGCATTTAACAAGAAAGATGAACCTATCGGAAGAGTCCATTAAATATCACTTGATAGCGTTGTCAGAGGAAAAATTAGCCATTTTCACATCATTTGGACGTAGAAGATAATCTTACAAGTGATATATCATTTTTATGCCAGGATAATGACTGAGTAATTACCGATGGAAATGTGAGTCGAATGCTTTCAACTGCATTGATTGCCTTGCTCTTATCCGGATACATGACTAAAACAGCTTTAGGAGAAGATATGCCGGCGGACTGCAAAACTGTCGGTCTAGATCCATCGCCGTATAGGACTGGAAACCCAAGCTTCTTGGCTGACTGTTAAAAAGAAGAGAAAATCCATCTTACAAGTGATCTCTTATAAATGCATATTTTATTAAAATCAGAACCAACCTCGACAACGGAAGGATTAAGATCAAAAGCAACATATGGCCAACCCGCAGCTTCACCATCTGCACCCGATGCCAATGGTGCTGACAAAAAGTTTGCAAGGACCTGTAGTTGCAGTCACACATGGACAGCAATCAGAATGCTGATTGCATTGCTATAAGTAGATAACTTCTATTTAACGATCTGGTGGATCTCTCTACCTGACCCATTTGTCCAAATCCAAGAATAACCACTGGTTCACTAACATCATAGTTCAAGCTATCTGCAGCTTTCTGTCAAAAAAAAAAAAAAAAAAAAAAAATCAAGAATGCTCACAAGATTCCACATACAAACATAGACGAGGGAAATAGAATACAGAGGTTTTATTGTAACGAGACAAGGCAGTTTTAAAAGCAAGAATGTTTTCAATTAAATACATTTTTCTCCTCTCTGACTCTTTCTCGGTAATACCAACTAATTGTAACTAACAAAAACTTACAATGTCCGCTTCAAATTTTTCAGCAACAAAATCAGCAGCTTGCCGTCCAAGTTCATTAAGAAAAGGCGTCAGTGCCATTGATAGCACAACAACAATTATGAGAAGTTTGTTGAGCTCAAGAGGTAAAACTCCCAGCCTGCTTCCATGAAGTCTCATCAGTTATAAATAAAATAAAATTAAAAAATCTTAAAAAGCGTTAACAGTGAGTTGCAGTATATGCATAACTTGCCTATTTGCTAGAGAGAAAACCACAAATGCAAATTCACCTCCTTGGGACAAAAGAAATCCTATTCTTACGCTTTCTCGTAAGGTTAGTCCAACCCGGGGACCTAGGACTGTAATTATCGTGGTCTTAATAGCAATCAGGCCACCCAAGAGCGCGAGAACATTAGGCCATTCTCGGGAAAGAAGCTGCAAAGCAAGATGAAAAACATAAAATCAACATACTGACCACTTGGACTTCTTGTAAGAAATGAACACCAAAACCTACTACTATTCAAGACCACTAGGACTTGATGAGTACCTGCATATCAATAGAAGTTCCTGTGGTGACGAAGAACAATCCTAGAAGTAAACCCCGGAATGGTCTTATATCAGCTTCAATTTGTGTCCTGAAATTTGTCTCTGCCAGTATGGCACCAGCCAAAAAAGCTCCGAGCTGATGAGTTTCAAATGCAAGCAACAAAGATAAATAAGTAAATGTGAGTCGAACAAAAATATAATCGATGATTCAACAATTCCCATGATAAACAACAAATGCATCAGAACCGTGTCACTGAAGCCAAGCTTTTGCGTAACAAGTGAAGTCCCAGCAACTGTAAGTAAGCAAAGAGCAATAAAAGCTTCTGAGCTCCTTGTTTCTGCAACAACCTAATAATATGTCAACTTTTAAATTGAAGTACATAATACAAGTACTTAAGGTCAGTAGATAAACTATGTCAAGTCTACCTCAAAGATTCGCCTCAGAAGGAATTTCCCTCCAAGAGAGAGCAATCCAAGTCCGAGTAAAGCTTTCAGACTTTCATTGACAAGCATAGGCCATATGCTTTGCTCTCCTAAATTCTTCAGAGCAACAACAAATGTGTTACATATGAATGATCTCAGTTTGGCAGTAATAAACCTAATGAAAAGAACAGGCTGATATAATACTTGTTGTGAAGTTAGAACTCATCCAAAGCATGAGAAAGGGGACAGAAGAACAGAAATAATAATAATAATTAAAAAAAAAAAAAGAAAAAGAAAAAAAAGATGAATTATCACCAGCATGAAAGGCTTTCCTACATTTTCCAATTTATTCATTAATTAGAGGACATTTTTATTATAATAATAATAATAATAAAGAAGAGAAAATTCAACTACAGGAAGAGACTATAGAAACAGTGCCTCACCCACCCATCCCACCTCACTCCATGCTCTTCCAACCAAAAGAATGTTATAGGTCTTAAATACAAATGAGACTACTCTGCCAGATACCCGTCAAACACATCAGACAGAATATGTTTTCCTCTCAGAAACATGAATAAAGAGGCTCACCCAATGGCCTTGCAATTTTTTATAATAATTTCTGTTTGTGTGTGCGTGTGTTGGTTGGGGGGGGGGGAGAATTCGGTGGAATAATGAAGAGTATAATCTACCTGGCCTTCTAACACCGGGAGTACCACCAAGAGAGGGACAACTGCTATATCCTGCATAAGGTCACAAATTCATGAAACAGGGTTATTGCTCTACTAAAATTCTGCTTTCATATATTCCACTCATTATCCAAAAGAAATTGAGAAGATTACAGACTATTGCTAGTAAAATCTCATAACAAGTAATTATATTAAACTCAATCTATAAGAGGATCAGTAACATGGTCATATTAGTATTAACCTGAAGCAGCAGAATGCCCAAAGTAGCTGAGCCAAATCTTGTTGGAAGCTCACCCTTCTCAGCAAGAAGCTAACAAACAGGTATATGATGAAAGTCAGGACTTCATAGAAATCTGTACTTGGTAAATGAATAGGAGCAAGCAAACATCCAAGTCAAATTGTACAATCTATTGGAGGTTAATGGATGCAGATTTGAGTTCCATAACACCAAAATACACAAAGGATTAGTAACAGAGTCTATGTAAGCAAGTGAACTTTGAAAAGTTCAGACTCCATAGTTGTAATAGAAAGACAAGGAGGATAAAAAGGCAGTGACATATATTGATAATATAAGAATGATATTGTAATACTTAACTAGAAGAGACTAATAGTATACAGTCAATACACTATTACCTGCATTATAAAACTAAATTTAACTACATAAATTCATGTTTACTGCAGCTAGTTACAAGTTGAAAGGAATAATAACTAAGAAAGTAGTAGAGTTTAGTTGCCAACCTGTAAAACAAAGGCAGACGATGACAATGATAGAGCAGCACCTATGACTATAGCCTCATCAATACTCCTGATGTTAACCTGCAATTGACTCAAAGAACACAGAAGTAACTTCAGCAACATGAATAAAAGTTATACAAATTGTACCAGTGGAAAGCTTAAGAAGAAAATTACGTACCAAATCGGGCCGTGAATGAAACAAAAACATCAAAAGTTTAGTCCCGATTGCCTCATTTGGAGGAAGCTCAAATGCCGAGAAAGCAAGTGTGGACAACAGAACCTAAAAGAGATGCGAGGAACAAAACAACGAGTTAAAATAAAAACATAACAAGGACATAACATTGGCATGACTCATAGAGGTATCATACACACAAATAAGAGAAATCTATACGACCCCTTAATTAAAAACAATATGGCGTACTGTTGACTAATGGATGACACAAACACACAGTAAAATAAACCAATGACGACGAATAAGGGCCATTAAAGGAGCAAAATAACAGATCCACTTATGAGTTATAAAATGGCACCAGCATGACACAGAGTGTACCTGAGGCAATCCAATACCAAAAGCAAATATAGCAAGAGCCTTCAATCGCGCAAGTGAAAGCTCTAAACCCATCTCAAAAAGCTGACATAAGAAAATGATAATGAAACATATAAGGACCATATGAGAGTTTTGAAGTAACATAAAATAGTAATCTAGGGGAAGCTGTATACCAATAGCATGCTTCTTTTGAGGCTAAAGAAGAGATTTAAAGTAACATCTAACTATCACAAGGGCTACAAGCAGAAAAAATAAACCTTACCAGGAAAAGGATACCCCACTCTGAGAGAACTTTAACATCAGTAAGATTTCTGATGAGGCCAAATTGATTTAGAACAACGCCAGCAAAAAAGAATCCAAGTATCTGCATTCAGAAAGCAAGACTTAAGCATTTTAGAAGCAAGTAAAAGAAACAGCTATTGCAGATTCATATTTACAAGTCATGCCAACAAAAAGCCACATCTAGATGCTTCAGATACACATGATAAATGCAATCTTTAAATAAAAAACATGGCACAAAGTTGCAGATCTCTATTATTAGACTTGCAAACTAATCCTTGGAGGATTAACTCTCAGCATTCAGAGAGACTTTGAAGATGAAATTGGACTAGTGGACTAGTGGTCAATTTAACAACAATGCCAAAGCCTTGGGGTCAGGTGCATGTACCTAGAATCTATCTCCTGTCGCATTGACTTCAAAAGTAAAACATATTCTGTATGACTAGGGAAAACATCTATATGCTGGTATTTCCATGTCTGAAGAGCCTATAAACAAAGTATGACTTTATAGCATGCCACATAAATTTTGTATGAAACAATAACAGACACATCAGACATCGAAGTTACTGAATGAGAAGGTATAAAATGCCTTACAGGGCTAGCCCTTATAGTTCTGAATACAGGGACAATAACGACAGTAACCACCAAGAATGTCAAGGTATCCAACCCCAAGTCATTAATGACATCAACAGCACTGGCTACATCAACCACAGCATGCAACTGAAATCTTTTGCTGTCACCTGTTCTAGAGCCTGAAAAGAATAATTTTCTATGACTAAAATTTGCTGGAACTGATGTTGACAATTTCTCCCATCCGGTTCTTGTAACATAACTTTCTTGTAACCTTGGATAGCTGCTGTATGATGGCCGATGGAATAGACGATCCCTGGAAGATAATAACTGAAACGAATATCTACGAAAACTTGAGTTTTCAGTAGAGGGGGTTTTATTGAAAATCTTCTTATATGTGAATTCAGAACCCTGCAAGAATACCAGAAAACACAGTAGTCAGAAATACTGGTTTACATTCAAACACTGAATCATCTTGCAAGTGTAGTACATTATTATCCTGTTACACATTTTGATAGACCATCAAATTTCCAACAATACATGATCTTATTACCAAGACAGGCAGAAAGTTTTTCCTCTTGTGTTCACTGACAGGAAGTTTCATATCAATGGGGACAACTCTTTCTACATGAATAACATCCGCCCCATTAACGGATTATCAGGTCATCGAGCCTCTAGTTCAAAGGTATACCTCGGTTAATTGGGTGTCCAAAGCCAAAACAATAAGTGTCAAACCACATGTCTTAGTCTCCATTCTCTAATATCCTATAGCATCTATCATCTTTCCTCTAATATCTACATTTTAACATATTCAAAATCTTCAATTCCAACACAATATTAAGGCTCTTCAAATAAAGTTCATGCCTTTAGGTAGTCCAAAGAGGGTTCCACTATCCAAAATTGGCTAAGTACAAGCAAAAGTTCCATAAAAAGATACAGTATTTTGCTTCATTAAACCAAATTCAACATGCAATGTTCTAATTTTCCCAGAAATAATTGAATAAAAATCCACAAATACGCAAATGAGATCTTAGCTTAGTAGTAAACATACCGTTATCCGTCACACATAGACCAAATTACAACGGGTACATACATAACTAAATAAAGATATTAATGATCAAAATTTGTGGACAGGTAAAACTAAACATTGCGACTATTTAGAAACAGAGGAAATATCATCATTAGAACCCATTTTATCATATACTGAACTCAATTCTCAAACCCAACTCAACCCAAAATAAGTAAAGAAAAAAACTTGTGAATAAGAGTGAAACAATTAATACCTTGAAGCAATGAGAAAAGACCATAGAATCCGCCATAATTAACAAAAATTATGAGCATAAATCATAAATGCATAATGATTAACTCATATTCTTCATAGTTAGCAGTAAATTAGTTTAAGATTAGAAGTAATAAGCAACTGTAACTTGTGAATATTTTTGTGGTGGTGTAAGGAGGAGAGAGAAAGTGTGTACGGAGAATCCACAATGGGCAGAATTTGCCCAGAAATTATGTGGAGAAGCGTACATTTTCATTTTCAACCAAAGATTGGATTTTGTTCAACTTGAATTATTTGCCTACGTGGCTCTGTTCACAACTTGTTATCCTTTTAGATGCTGATAATTCTTCATCAAAGAAAGCTTAAAATTCTTCTCCTCATGCCTTAGAATTGACCAATTACATATTTAGACTATTTGCGCTACGGTTATGTTATGTTCAGCAAAATTAGTTGTTGTAAGAACAGTTTGTTGTGAATGTAGTTGCTACTTGATAGCGTGGATAAATTTAAAAGTTTTTCACTTTTTGCCTGTATAAAAGTAAATGCTTTAAAGTTTAAGTTTCTAAAGTAAGTTGAATAGAAAAACGTCATAAGTTTAAACACAATTATCACGCAATTGAATCATAATATTGCAAATTTACCGGAGATCAAGGATCCATTGAATAGAATTTGTGATTGATATGACCCTAACAAACCCCATTGGTAAGCCATTATAAATCATAGGAAGCCTAATGCATTCATGTGTAAATTACTAAATTTGTAACGAAAATCCACGTTCATTATCATGGTAATCCATCCCAAACATGGGTTTTTCTTCATATATATACATTACCACTCATGACTCACCTCCTCTTACATACTTGCATAGTTGCATGGACGGCATGGTAATGAAATTTATGAAGACATTTCGTAAGCAATTATATATCACAGGAAAAATAATGCATTAATGTGTAATCAAAAATTTGTAACGAATCTCAACGTTCATTATCTTGGCACATGGGTTTTTCTTCATACATTTACATAACCACTCATGACTCACCCACCTCTTATATGGTTATGAATGGTAATGAAAATTGACGAAGAAATGAGGTAATAGGGAATGGATTTACAAAATCAAGAATAATGACATGAGAATTTATTCACAGTATATCATATAAATTCATTGTCATTCCCATGATTCAAGAATGCCCACTTAATACTCATCTTTATAGTCTAAGAGAGATCATTCACACGGTAAATATTTAAATCAACATCATTAACCAGTCAGGTGAAGTTGAGAAACCACAATATACAATGTCAGCCAGCTTTCTCAACACAAAGAAACATGACGAAATCATAGTAGAACAAGGAAAGAGTAAAATTATTCAAGACTTTATTTTAGGACTCCAGAAACTACATTTCCTAAACACCAGATATCAGAGCTTATATAATCAGCAGTACTAACAATCTCTCACAGAGAAGAATCAGAATTTGCTGGAGCAAACTTCAAAGAGACGCTGTTGACACAGTGGCGCTCATCTGTGGGAGTCGGGAATTTTTCACCTTTAAAGACATGACCAAGATGTCCACCACATGCTGCACAAGTAATCTCAACCCTCCTACCATCGGGATCAGGCTGCAAATCATAACAAATATTACAACTCATTGCTTTTAAATTCAAGTTGGAAATATATGCAATTCTCATATTGTGGATGCAAACAACTAATCCATAGTGAAATAAAAAAACATACAGGAACTATACGGCAAAAGAAGATACTTACAGTACGATTTATGGCTCCAGGAAGTCCCTCATAGAAAGCTGGCCAACCACAACCAGAGTCGAATTTGGTTGTTGATCTGTATAGAGGAGTTTCACATCCTGCACACTTGTAGATTCCTTCCTCGTAAAACTTGTTGTATTCTCCTGTTCCTGGGAGTCTGCAGCAAAGACGACCATGAACATAATAAAGATGCTACACAAATAACATGGTATGTGAGAAAATTATGCAACAGAAAATAATTGGCATAAGACCCAGAAAACAGTAGTAACAAAATTTAAAAAGAAATTAAAAAATAAAAAGGCACACTTTTCACTTAGCTCATCATACATAATTTGGATAAAAAATGGTCATTGTAAGGTTAAGCCATGCTGAGCTATAGTATACAACAGTCTACAAACGACCATGACAACTCTGAAGTAGACAGCAGAACAGAGTACTTCACATTTCTACAACTAACCACACTGATATAATTCTCTTTTCACATTCATTTGACATCAACATGTCAATTTAGGGGCATTAGGGCATATGACTGATTTGAGGATTGAAACCCATTTTCATTAATTTGAGTTTTTCTGGAAGGCATTAAATAGGAAATTACAGAAACTCATTAGAAGGCCATATCAAGTATCAACAATAACTAACATTGTATGTCTATTAATGTTTTGAAAGACATAGCAATGTAAATTATAATTCCAGGTTTGACGCTTTGGTTTGAACTGTTTCGCACACCAAAAATGACAAATCAACCCAAATTTGGGTACTCCCAGAGTCCCAGGTGATGGTACTCCCAGATACAGCGTGTAAAAAGTGTATTGGTACTCACAGGTGATGGTGTAATACATTCTGAATTTTAGGCTACTGTAGGTGGTCTTGTAACACTTATATTTAAGGGATAGATATACAAATCTGGGGCAAATAGGAGGTGTGGAGGATCATCTCTTGCAACAACTCCGTCACATTGTTATCCTTATGAGTAATCGGCATCTTAGCATTCAAGCAATACAACTGGGACTCAAAATCTCAAATATGTGGGCAGTTAGCAGTGCAGGGCCTAGAAGCACAAAGATAAGTTTTGCAAATTGAAGTAAAGACAAGCTACATGGGCATGGCATGAACTAGTTAACGCCCTAGCACGCTCAGGTAGTCATGTCGTTTCAGTGTATAGGAGGAGCGCATTGCCAAGGTCAGGACCGGCTAATCACACCGTGCTCAAAGAGTTCTTACAACTTAAAATCCTCCTTGTTCAGGTAGATTATAGTAGACCAAATTCCCAACTACCAATATTTCTTTCATCCCTCACACTGAAGGGTTTTTCAGCTTAATCAAATTCACTACTCTAATTTGAACATGATCAAATTCGTTACTCTAAACTTCGAGAAAGATCCATTTGGTTTATTCAATATTAGCAATCACTCAATCAGGTTTAAGCCATTTAATCCATAACATAAAACGTGAATGAAATTACAAACACTACCAACAACATAAATTCCGTGGTGATTTCACTCATAAATAATCATTAATTACAACTATTTATGACTTCTTCAACCATTTCAACCAATTCTCAGAAAAATTATCAAATTCTTGATACCCATATTTCTTGGTATAATTCATCACCTAGATGCTAATACATTAATTATGAACAATTAATAACAAAATGATCACAAAATAACGAAATAAAAAAGAATATAAAAATAGAATAACAACGAAAAATAAGAGGGAGAATAGCATACTCAGTTCCTTTCTGCCTGAGAATACGAAACTGCTCAGGAGAGAGAATAGCACGCCATTCCTCCTCTGGTTTTTGAACTGAAGCAGGAGCAGCCGCCATTGTTATAAACCTCAAGCTTTTTTGGTGCAAATTCCCAGAAAACCCAGTTGAAAAAATGGCGTGATTTTTAGGTTTTGATACCAAAGATATAAACTTTGATGTATTTAAGCAAATGGGCATGGAATAATTAGTGGGATAATGAAGGTAAGAAGAATAATTTTTAGATGGAAATTTGGGATTCAGTATTTTAGTGGTGGCGATTGTAATGGATGAAGAAGAGAGATGTGAGGTTGTTCTCATAATATTCAACCCCATTTTCTTCGACTTTTCCAAACTAAGATAATTATTTTATGGGATAAATAAATATTAAAATTTATACTTTTCCATATTTGTAATAGTTTAGCTCAAAAATAATGTGGTTTCCAAGATCTTTGGGTTGGGCTATAATCTCACATCAATACATTGAATTTGTACCAACATACATGCTAAATACACTTGAGGCCATTTTGCTATCCTCTACAACACAATTTTGTCGGACCCTTCGAGAAATCTAATCCAATACGAAATACGGAGCATATTTTTGGTTTCTATAACATTTCTACTCCCTTCATTTTTAATTACTTGCTCTATTTTTTTTTATGTGCGAAGCTTTAAGAGAAATTGGAGAAATTAATAAAATATGGATGTAGTGGGGTAAATAAAAGAATAAAAAATTGAAAAAAAACAAAAGTAGTTGAAAAAATTGGAGGAGAGAGAATATGAAATTAATAAAATATGATTTATGTTGGGTTGGATTATATTTCAATAAAAAAAGAGAATACATTTCAATTAAAAAAGAACGAATGAAATACAATTTCACATACATATATAAGAAGTTCATTCAATTTTTCATGCATATCAATTACAAAGTATTTTTAAACAAAATATATTAATGTATATATCCCTGGAGATTGCATGTAAGCATAAAGCATTGGATATATTTATATTGCATGACAAATCACGTGTCAATCAATGTAACTTACTTCGTATTATTTTTACTTATGTCTCCTTATATGTTCTATGTACCAGTATCAATGTCCTTTCACAAATTAATTATTCAAAGTAATTTACTTGTATATAATATGATAATATAATCCTTTTTTAATACGCTTGTTTACTTTCTATGTATATAATTCAAAAATAAAAATATAATAATAAAAAAAAAAAAAAAAAAAGCCCTTCTTCTTGCTTACTTACTATTAAACTACGGACTATAAAAAACCGAAATAGAGCTTCTATATGACCCAACAACAATATTAATTATATTCCATAAATTCAACCAAGGCAAAGTTTTTCACTTTCCAAACAAATACTTCGTATTATTTTTACCCATTCAAAGCAAAATTAAAATTATATGTTTCTAACTATTACATATAAAAATATTCAATTAAACCAAATGATCTGAGCAAATAAAATTTACAACCGATTATATAGTGCATGAGTTGTGTTTGTGATACATTAGTGATAAAAGTTGTAACCAGTTAGAAATCAAACAACTAACTATAGACATAAGGGTTATGCTACTAATTGTTGGTTGGACTTGCACCCGGAGGCTGTAATTATACACCACCCTATTTTATTCTCGGACCATGCAACGATTGTCTTACGAGAATTGAAAATTGGTGTTTGGACATTAGGGAGGTGGATTTGATTATTGGGTCAGAACGGCAGAGTTTTATTCCGGTCAAAAATGTTTTCTATTTCCAGAAAACTGGTTAAAATTCGTCAAAGGCTTCTTACCTGGTGTGTTGAGCATACAAAATCTTGGGGCATTGATTGGAAGGATCTACAGGACTCGATAACGACTAAGGCTAGAAGGCTGGATAATGCTGAAGATCGAAGTCGGTTTCTTGCTACTAGAGATGAGAAATTATCTCAAACACAGACCCCGTATTTGTATTGGAAACAGCGATCGAAGATTAGATATGGTGATTCTCATTCACGACTCCTTTTTTCTTCTGTTCAAGATCGTCGTCGCCGGAATAAAATTTTTAGTTTGAAGGAAACTTTGGGTAACTGGGTTTGTGATCCTGCAAATGTTAAAGCCTTGTTGGTAGATCATTTTTCGGACCTTTATTGTTGTCAGAATCCTCATCTTTCAGTTCAGGACGATTGGTGGTCGGACTTGGGTTTTCCTACCATTTCACAGTCGGATCGCCGATTTCTTTTGCAACCTTTTTCTGGAGACAAAATTAGAGATGCTAATGTTTCACATTGGTAACAATAAAACTCCTGGTCCGGAAGGTTTCTTAGCGGCCTTTTCTAAAACGAACTGGTCTAAGGTTAGGTTCTTAGGTGATTTCAGCGATTTAATACTTCTTTGCTCATGGCTATTCACTGAAAGAATGGAATTGTACTTTCTTAGTACTGTTACCTAAGGTGGACCGACCTGAATATCCTTCTCAGTTTCGACCTATTGGGCTTTGTAATGTTTTATACAAGTGTATTGCTAAGTGTATCACTGCATGGCTCCAACGGGATCTACCATCCCTGATTTCTGGTACTCAAAATGCTTTTGTTCCTGGGTGGTTGATGTCGGATAATGCTCTGGTGGCTCATGAAGTGCTTTCTTATATGAATACTTCGTCTATAAAGTTATGCTCAACTGCGATTAAATTAGATATGAACAAGGCCTATGACAGGGTTAATTGAGAGTTTTTATGGCGAGTCTTGCAGCTCTTTGGCTTTCCTCCGTATTGGTTAGGCCTTATCAAGCAATGTTTTTCTATGGTCTCTTACCAGATCTTGGTTAATGGGAGTCCGTCGCAGATTATTATTCCGTCTTGTGGTCTGCGACAAGGGGATCCTTTGTCTCCTTATCTGTTTGTTTTATGTATGGAGGTTTTTTCTCTTATGATCACTCAAGCGGAGAAATTAGGGTATGTTCAGGGGCTGCGTGTATCTAGGAGAGCTCCATCTGTTTCTCATCTTTTCTTTGCAGATGATGCGTTGCTGTTCTTCCGTGTTTCTCCGGATGCTTGTGATCATATGCTTGGGGTTATTAACAGGTTTTGTTCAGTTTCTGGTCAAATGATAAATGTCCAGATATCTTTTGTGAAATTTAGTTCGAATACGCCTGAGGATTATTGTCTATACCTGAGTGCTTCTTTAAAAATGCATTCCCGTCCTTCTCTAGGAACCTATTTGGACCTTCCGATGAATTTGCAGAGAAGTAAATGCTAGGCCTTTCAGCCGCAAGTAGATAAGGTCGTTCAACGTCTTTTTGCTTTTGCTTCTTTGAATCTTTCTGCGGCGGCCAAACTTGTTCTTATCAACTCGGTATTGGTGGCTTATTTTACTCATGCTCTCTTAGTTTTTAAGCTGCCTTCTACTATCTGTGACCGAATTGATAATCTTCTATGAAGATTCTGGTGGAGATCGGGTTCTTCCTCCAAGGGTTTGGCTCTAGCTGGTTCTCAAGCTCATCATTTACCGAAGGGTTTAGGGGGTCTTGGGATTCGTCACTTGCCTAGCTTTAATTCTGCTTTACTGGCTAAGCAAACATGGCGTCTTATTCATCATCCTCAGCTTTTAGTTTCTAGGGTCTTCCGGGCTATGTATCCTTGTCTTCTTCAGTATTCTGCTTCAATTAGAGTTTCTCGTCCATCTTGGGGTAGCTGGAGTTTACTTGAGGGGGCTAGAGTTCTTTCGCAAGGGGTAGCTTGGAAGATAGGTTCCGAGTTACGTGTTAATATATTGGAGGATAATTGGGTTCCTGGGGTTGAGGTACGTTTCAAGAATACGATCCCTCAGGCGTCCCGTCTTTTAAAGGTTTCTCAGCTTATTGATTCGCATTCTCAAATGTGGGATACTACGAAGGTTCACAATCAATTTCCTTCTATGACTGCGGCCTCTATTCTGGTTTTAGATAGGCCACGGACGCCGATTGATGATATTGTTTGCTGGAAATTCACTAGGGATGGTGAGTTTTCTACCAAATCAGCTTATGCTTTTTTAATCTGTCAGGTGTTTCAGAATTTGAGTGGCATGCCTGGTTTGCACTCTACTTGGTGGAAGCGTTTATGGGGTCTTTCCATTTTGGCAAAGTGGAAAATGTTTGCTTGGAAAGTTCTTCATAATGCACTGCCTACGACTATCCAATTTCGGAAGAGAGGGATCGCAGTGGATCTCAGGTGTGGTTTCTATCATTAGGCTGAAGAAACTTGTTCTCATCTTTTCCGGGCTTGTCCGTTTATTCGCCAATTATGGGACTCTTTCTCTTGGCCTTGTTCCATTCCGTTTGCTATGAATCATCCGTTCAAGGTATGATTCTCGAAATTAATTTCTCATATAGGGTCCCTTAAGAATTGGGATGCTTTGGATTGTGTGTTTGGGTTCTTTTGGGCGATTTGGTCCCTTAATATTCGCAGACTTCTGTTTTTGCTTTGGCTGCAAGTTGGAGAGAGAGGAGTTCTGAGGCTCGTGTTCTTTCTTCTGTTTGGTTGCCTTCTTCTCCTCCGGGTTTTTCTACTTCTACTGGTTCCAGGATGACTAGGGACTCCCTTGATTCTACTTCTGCCATTTGCCTTGTAGTTGATGGAGCTTGGGATGCAGGAAGTAAATGCTCTGAAGCAGGCTGGTTCTTTTCGAATGATAATTCTCCTTAGTATTTAGGTGGACTCAGGCTGGTTTTAGCAACTCGGCTCTTCAGTCTGAGTTATGTGCGTGTCTACTAGGGTCTTCGACATGCTAGGGATTGTGGGTTTCGTAATATTCGGCTGTTTACGGATTGCAGTAGGGTTTTACAGTTAGTTCGGGGAAATCCTGAGAGTGATATCTCAGTGTTTTGGGTCCTGGATGAGATTCGTCAGCTTATTTTGTGTTTCTCTACATGCAATGTTTGGAAGGTTTCCAGGGTTACAGTGGAATTTGCCCACAGCTTGGTTGGTTTGGCTCGTCGTCGTCATTTTCTTTGTTTACGTTTTTAGTTTGTTGTTTCTTTGTTAGTTCTCTTTCTCAAAAAAAAATAAAAATTAAAAAATAAAAATAAATAAATAAAAAAAATAAAAATAAAAATTAGTGGTTGGATCAAAGCATTTTTTTTTTATTTTTTTTAATATTGATGCTAGTTGGCATTGTTTAAATAGTGCAAGAAATCAGGCACGCTTACTATTATACCCATTAAAATTGTCTCATATTTTTAATTCACATTTAAAAAAGTTGATTAATTTAAAATTGTACGTAAAGAGTGAGTATTTGCTAGATGATATAAATGAGGAATATTTACAAGAAAGTCAAAAGGAGAATAAGATTATCGAGATTTTAAGTTTTAGCAATATGATAAACAAGCTAAGAATAAAATCTTTTACACCCTTAGTAATAAATACTGTAAGTAACCAACCACCCCATTCCTTCCGGTCCGAACACAAGGTACAAAGGTAGTAGTAACGTAGTACAATATTAACTCTATGTACACTTTTTTTGTGTAAGAAAATTGTCATGTCTAAAAACTATTAGTACTTATATTATCTAAACCGATACTTCGTATACAACATATGTATTTATATATTGTAGGTATACATAAATTATTGTACATTGAATTATGTCTTTATACCAAAAACATAATTCATGTATGTAGCTAGCGAGTAGTAGGCGCTGCTATACCAATCTTCTTGGGCTTTAAGCACAAGAAGTTTGGAGAATACCATCTAAACAAATTGAAGGTTGAAATGCCCGAAATTACAGCCAGTAAGATGGATGCCACACCACCACAAGCTATGGAACCACCAATTTGAACGCAAAACCTTACATATTTGCTGCATAGTTTCATCCATTCGAGATCATGGGAGCCAAATAATGCGAGGAATGCTATTTGGGTCGAGGCACACATTATAGCAAAAACAACGTACGCTACCACCTTGACAACGATAAGAAAGAAAATTAAATCAGCATCGAATGTGATTAGTTAAAATATACCAAGTATTTTAAAATATAATTATCGAACGTGATTAATTAGTTGAAACTAAGTTAGATAAACTTCAAACTCTTAATGAGAATAGTATATATTAAAATAATATACGGTTGTTACATTTATTAATAGTTATGTTAAATGTATTTATATGAGTTGGAGCACTTTATGTTATTCGGATGTAATACATTGAATTCATCATTGTGTATACTCAAGGGTGATTGGCAAAATTAAAGGGCTCAAACCATAATCTAAACCCTTATTTAATTTACTTATGTCTTTACAAACTTATGTCTATTTTTAGGTAAGTGTGTGCCCCACCATTTTATTTTAGAAGGGAGCTTATTTTTTACTTTATTTTTTTATTTTTTTGAGGAAGGGGGTGGTGGAGTTTATGTGAAATTGTCTTGGTCACTAGTCGTTGTGAAGGTGTCTCAGTCATCACTAGTCGTTGTGAAGGTGTCTCAGTCATCACTAGTCGTTGTGACCAGAAAAGAAATTAACTCCAATTGAGCTAGAATTTTCGGCCTTAGCCTTTTAAGGTTATACCTGCCATGAAATATGAGTGAAGTCCATTAAAATAAAAACTTCAAAAAAATGAAAAAAAAAACCTTCAAAAAATATACATAATCTTAAGCTAGCTAATGGCTTTATTGGAACAATTTTCAAACATTTATAAATTAGTTTTTCTTTAGAAAAAAAAAATCTTTTAATCTAACCCATGATTATTTACATGTATTTAATTACATAGTATAATTTTGGTCATTTTATAATTAGACAGGTAACTCATTTTTTTAATCAAGCGGAAATTGGAAAATTAGATGTAATTGGTGGCTAAAGCGGAAATATACTTATAGAAGTAGCAAAAAGATTACCAGAAAGATGAAAAGAATAAAGATAATCAAGATACAAATTATGCAAACAAAACTTACAAGTCAATAACAAAACACAGACATTTGATATCAAAATATACGATCATATTATTCATTAAAAAAAAAGTTATTCATATGAAGTATACAATTTAAAAGTAATCTCTTATAACAAGGTAAGAAGATGAAACATAGGAATATTTATAGTATTATTCGTTTCAAAATATTTAATGCCTGCATGTATTTTCGAGACTTTAAAACTTGTCTCAACTCTGAAAGTCCTATCTCAAAAAATATGTACAGATATTTTATATTATGAAACAAAGAGAATAACTTATGGTATGGTATTGAAGTTAATTAATCTAAAAAAGATTAGAAGAAAACTTACTTTAAAATAACCGCCAATTTATAGCTGACTTTCATTTTGTACACACCAAAGTATAACCTGGTTTGGACGTCTGTAATCATAATTATGGCAGCCATTAAAAGTGTTAACAAAGCACATAGTCTCAAAATTGCTTCAATTTTCACTCTGCTAGTAAAACAATTGAGAGAAAATATAAGAAAGTGACCGTATTTTTGTTATTGTTGTTGTTGATTATGAATTAAATAGTTGAGTTTATAAGCTTTTATATTTAAAGGGCTAGGGCAAGTAGCCAAGTTAGCTAGAGTATAAGTGTTATAGTTGAGGCTACAAACGGTCCACGAGTAATATATTCATCGATGCATTTATTTTAGTATGTACTATTAATGTCGTACCACACCATGATCTCTACAATCGGCAATCCCCATCTTTGGTACTCGTATAATCGTATTATTTAGCGTCCGTTTGTTAAATTAGACGTGGATATATATGGGAAGTTGACACATACGAAAACGAAACTATGAGAAGTTGATTAGTCGGCAAAAATATACTGCGTAAAAAATTATTTATAAGATGAAAGATGTATACTTAAACCTTCTAGGTAAGTGGAACTTTCGATGAATTGTTGACATTTTTATAGATGACAATTACAGAGGCCATCTAATATTGAAAAAAAAAAGAAAGATAGAGAGAGAGAGAGGCATTATCATATTGCCATACTAAATGTCACTATATAATACTGATGTATTCTTACTTTCTTAGTACATACGTTTAAAATAAATTAAATTAGCTAATAGACTTGTTTTAGGTTTCTTTCTATTTCACGTTATTTGTCCTAAATTTAATCATTCGTTATAATTAAGCTAGATGGTATCCAACTCTAATCTCGTTAATATAATTAAATTGAGTTTATATTGCGTGTAGCTAGTATGCATAGACGATATCACGTCTTTACTAATTATAAGGTCGCTCGACCAATCGAATCAAATTTGAAAATGGTACGTACATGATTATCTTATGATCCCGGTAATTTGGATATATGTAAATTTAAGAGGAAAAATAGAAGTTAATCGAGTCAAAAAAAAACACGCGTAGTAAGAGTAGTAGTAGCATTAAATTCTTAGTTGGAAGCAATACGTCACATCTTATAATCAAGTTTGATGTAAATAGATCACCCAAAATTTCGATGACATAAATTAAGTATGCACTTCCAACCATATAGTATAGCTAGAATTTTTTATTTTTTATTTTATTTTTTATTTTTTTTATAAAATATGAAAATTATTCAAGTGCCCAAATTATACCTTAGCCCATACCTATACTAGGCTGGCCACGTACATTCCCTCACGCTCCCATATTTCGTAGCCCTTGATGATCCTTTACTATATACCGACACACAATTGAGTTGGCGTAGTCGATAATAAAAACTGGTTTAATTGGCTAAAGTGTTAAAAGGTGGTATTCAAACTTATATCACTAAACAATAATCACTAAAATGTGTGGCAAAAGACTTATATTCGATGTGGTTTACCAATATAAGGCAACCTATACCGTGAAAACAGTGGGTAGGAAAAAAAAAAGTATATGTCGGTTATAATCAAAATATATATATATATATATATATATATATATATATATATGGAGGTTGTTATTATATTTATTGGAACCATATCCTTGCCTGCTCAATTGCTATGCTTTTTAACGAGAAATGAGAGTACTGTGTTGAATTACAAAAGGCATACAACATTTACAATAATATTTTTTTTAGACCATCTACAATGATAAATTAATCATGGAAAAGACAATTTAAAGCATCAAAATATTCATCAAATCTAATATTCCCTACTCCCTTCGTTCTTTTATTATGAGCTTGTATTCCATTTTGAGGTAATCAAAATTAAGAGCTTATTTCTATCTAAAGGTTGTAGTTTTTGACAATATTATTCTCTTTTATGATTATTTGTCATCATTTTTCTTTTTCTTTTTTGTACTTTTGACATCAATTCCTCATACTTTCTCTCTTCCTCTCATCAATAATTCTCAACCACTTTTTCTTTCTCTCCGTCTCTCTTTAACCCCACATACATATTTGTACTCCCAATTACTATTAGTTTTAAGGAATCAACAACTTTCTTAATTCTCGTGAAAAAACCCAAATATGCTCATAATAAAAGGACGGAAGAAGTATATAAATAACTGATAATTATGTTCCAACCCTAAACGAATTGATAATCAATGACTCGATATCTCTCATTGCGACAAAATAACCCTACATTAGCTACATACAACTAATTTAATTTATGATCTCGGAATCCGACCTTCATCTTGATATTAATCTTCAATTATGCAACACAAAAAATCTCTAAAAAGAGGTTACAAAAAATAAGATATTTATTGAACAATAAAATAATTAAATCACACTATTCAAAAACAAAAATAAAATATTAAATAAATCACATAAAAAAAAAGATAGCAAATCTTTTAGATGTATCAAAATATTATAATATAAAATAATCAAATTACAAATCAACATTTAAAATGTAGGCCATTTACCATGTATTGGCTTATTGATTAACAAATAGACCAATTAAAATATGGTTACCAGATCGAATCTCCCTATCCTCATTTATAGTTTATATTGCCTTTATAACTCATTCGCAAAAAAAAAAAAAAAATAATATAAGTTGTTAATGACCATTCGATATTTGCCTAGAAAACCTTTATGATGTAGGATTGTAGGGCTTAAGATAGTGAGAGTGAAATTTAAAAGAACAATTTCTTTGGCTTGAAAGCTGCTTGATTTGGCCTTGGATTGTTTTAATAGCATTTTAATTTCAGTCTCTTTCCCTTTCTTTTTCTGCATTCCCTTTCTAGTATGAAGTTTCTATTATTCCTACAACTCAACCACCATCATTTCAATGCTTAGCTTAATTCAAAGATTAGAAAGTTTAACAAGTAATTAAAGCCTAATAATTGCTTCTTTTTTCGTATATACATATTCATATGTTGTTTTCCGATCCCCCTTTAACTTTTGTACTAATCACATATCACTTTTTCTACAACAGAGTAATGTGAGTGAGTACTGTGCTAGACATGTGCAGGTGTTCAAATGTCAAACAAAATTTAATTTTCAAGTGTTTTTGGTCTAAAATGAAGTGTCTCCACGACTAGCCTATTAATAGTACGTGTAAGCAAATCCAACATGATATTTGAAAAGAAATGAAGAGCATGAATAACATGATTTTAATTAAAACTTCATGAATCATTATTGTCAGAATAATTAAGAAGGTAGAAGATTTGGATAAGGGAAATTTAATTTCATTAAGTCAAGGGAGGCCAATAATCAGAAAATACAAGTTTCTCTTAGTAATAAACAAAAATTGTTTATCACATGAAGTTTTCATAAATAAATCAACAACTTTTTCATTAATGTGGTGACTTCTATAGTTGATGGTGATTGGATAAAGTTGTTGATGTATTTACGAAAATGACATGTGATAAACAATTTTAATTTTTGTTTATTACTAAGAGAAACTAGGGCAAGCTCGCCAATAATGCATGACTTAGATCGAAGGAGTTAAAATGATTTGAAAAAAAGGGTTTAATCTGCAAAATGGAAGAAGAAAGTCATCATGGATGACCACAAGAGATAGATTCTCGATTCATGTGACTGACCCCATCCTTAAGAAATTACGTTGTGTTGTTATTGTAAGTGGGTTTTATATGGATGATCTATAGAACACTTGGAAGTTTTTGTGGAATCTGATAATTAGAAGCTAACATCCTAACAATTGTGGCAAAAATTTGTTGACAACTTAGCTTACATATGATAAGGGCATCAGTCCTAGCTTTCCAAGCATTGGGTTGGAAAAAGACAGCTCATTCATTACAAGTTCACAACTTCCATCTCATTAAATAATATGTTTGTACAATGTGCTGATAATTGTTAGTCTTGTTCTTATGCAAGTACTTCAATTTAAATCAAACAAACATTATTTAATTCAGTTAAGGGTAACACTTTTTATGTTTTATGCTTGCACTATAACATTGAAATCAATCAGTTAAGTCCTTACATGATCGATGAATTTGGGTACTGTAAAAGTTGGTTTTTGGATCACTATGCTTGTATTTTCGAGTTATATTTATTTGGGTTTTGGGCAGATTTTTCGTTCTAACAGGGTTTTTATTACCGCAATTATAGGGGCATAATACTTGTCTAGCAACAATTTATTCTTTTCCTGTTGTTGGACTAGATCATTTGTGCACAAATTAACTGTAGATTTTGATGTTGATCGAGTTGAATAGACCATTATATTTGCAGAAGGCCAGGTAAAACACGAAACTAATCAACTTATGAAGCGGATATAGGATTATTAAAGTGGCTGTCAAATTTACTAGTCTAGTAACATCATCTCAGGCCCTTAATAGATCCGCCTATGACTTATGACCAAATATATTACGGAGTATACAAAATGAAGGGATAAAAACGACTGTACAGTCATCAGAATGCAGGTTGATTATTCGAGCTAGACTTATAGAAAGTATGTTAATTGATTAGATACATAGCTAAGGGATAACCTGCTTTAATTTTCTGGTGTATTTTCTGCAACTTTTGTCTTTGAGAATTTCGACTCATAAAGACTCAATCATGGAATTACAGAAGCTTGATACATTATTTATCAGACAATATCTACAGAAAATAACACACCTGATTCTGTTTTAATGTCAGAGACATTTGATGCAAAAGGAAAATTATCCGTTTTCAACGGCAGCCACATTTGATACACTTTCCAGACCTTTTGAGCTAGTGAGAGACATGAGAGAGTACTAAACAATTTACGCGCATTGCGAAAATTTCTCCTTGAAAGTGTAAGTCAAGAAATGGAAGTCAAAGATAGGTTTAAGGCAGTCCTTGCAGTTAGTTTCACATAGCTTCCTGTACTTATATGCTACATAACAACTTAACAAGCCTAATGTTTCGAGTATTATCACAGTTTAGAGTTCTGAGAATTTGCTTCTGAAATCTTATGATGTAATTGTGTTGTGCTATTTTTTTCTCTAGGATCAATTAGTCCCATCTCTTAAGGTACATAATACACATACTTGTGTTTAGAACTAACAACTATAGATCGTTCTTCATATACTTTGTATATCATATCTTATCATTTCCGGTGAAAGATCTAGGCATAAGTAGGAATATTTTTTTTCAGGGTCAATGATCTTTTGTTTAATAAATTATTATCAGTATTATTATTACATCCAAAGCATCTGTAATGGTATCCAAGACTCCAAGAGTCAATTTTTCGATATTAAAATAATGCTACTATTAATTAACAATTCTACACTAAGCAAAGTATGTATTGTAGTGAATGATTCCTGTGGAATATAGTAACTTCATTCTAACATCAATGGCTGAAACTGCAGCTAACAATGATACTCCAGAAGTTGGTGCTTTAGCTTCAGAGTGTTACCATACATACGACGTGGTTATAGTAGGAGCTGGGATAATAGGCTTGAGCATTGCCAGGCACTTTCTACTTCATTCTCGCCTATCTGTTGCCATTGTTGATGCTTCCACTCCTCTCTCTTCTGGTGCAACCGGTGCTGGTATGTGTTAACTAGTACTCTTTCCATAGACTTTGCGTGGTCTCCAAGACCAAACTTTGATCAATGTTTTCTCTTATTAGATAGTCGTATAATCTTGAAGAATATACTCATGTGACAATACTTCATTCAAAAATCTTAATATTGACTAATTGTAGGGCAGGGCTACTTATGTATGATACATAAAACACCAGGAACTGCTCTGTGGGATCTGGCTAAAAGAAGCCAACAATTGTGGCAGATGTTTGTCGACAACTTACAAGATCAAGGCATTAGTCCTCTGCAGTCAGTAGGATGGAAGAAAACAGGTCATTGATAAAGATTTGTGATTTACTGAAAATTAGTTCACTCGCGGTAAAATTTTAGTGCATTCAGCATCATGTACAGAATTCGTATGTACTAGTTCTGTTTGGAATAATGTTATCTCACATGGTTATGATGTACACTGCAATGCTGCATGAAGTTTAATAAGCAGTGTCTTAGTTATAGCTGATAGCGAGTTCAGATAATTGGCAAAATGGATCTAATGTTGTAAATTTGGTGTAATGGTGTGATTAGTAACATGTCTGAGACGAACAGTTGGAGATTTAGTGATTTCATGCTGTTTTTGTTTTAATCAGGCAGTGTGTTAGTTGGTAGAACCAAAGAAGAAACCGAGCAACTGAAGATAAGGGTGCATCAGCTATCTAATGCAGGACTGAGAGCAGAATACTGGTCTAGCAGTAACCTACGGCTTAAAGAACCAGAACTTACTGTTGGTCCTGAAGGTTGTGCTGCATTTCTACCAGATGATGCCCAAATAGAAGTGCATAGTGCAGTTGCTCTAATCGAAAAGGTTCATTTTTAAAAAATACACACTTATGTTTCTAGGAAATTCAATCTAGCTTTCAATTTGCCTACTAATTTGGTATGATTTCAATAGGACAACATACACTTCATACCACATAATAGATATGCCGAGTTTTATAATGATCCAGCTGTATGTTTGATGAGGTGAGAGTTTTTCTTCTCGAAAATACATATTGTATTTTAATTCTAGGGACATTCTAAAGATGGCATGATACTGTCACACTGATCATCTTTATGCAGATCTAGCAAGGATGGAAAGGTTGATGCTGTTAAGACTAATAACAATAACATTTTACATGCCAAGGAAGCTGTTGTTATTGCAGCTGGTTCTTGGACTGGATCATTGATGCACAATTTAGCTAGAGATCTTGATGTCACGATTAACGTTCCAGTACAGCCTAGGAAGGTAAAATCACTATAAGCTTATCAACGGAGTAAAATGCTTAGCCTAGAGATGAGCGCCTTTTTGCTTTGTTGGTTTTTTGCAGGGTTATCTACTTGTTTTTGAGAATATTAAGTCTAATCTTAGACTCAATCATGCAACTATGGAAGCTGGCTATGTTAATTATCAAAGAACATCAACTGAAAATAGCAGCAAATCAACTGATATTTCAATGACAGCAACGATTGATGCAAAGGGAAATCTTCTTGTCGGTATAAAATTACTCAATATGTACTCCATGATATATACTTCCTCTATGAATTGTGTACACTATTGAAATGTTGCAAGTACATGCCAATGAACTGTAATCGTTAATAGACATGTTCGATCTCTTACTGTCATCTGATATCCTATGCTAATATACATGTTTTAGGGAGCAGCAGACAGTTTGTTGGATTTAATGGAGACCTGGACATGCATATTGTTGAGCAGATATGGAAGCGCACTCAAGAGTTTTTCCCTGCTTTGTGAAACATCTCCCTTGAAAGTTTAAGTCAAGAAATGAAAGTTAGAACAGGGTTTCGCCCTTACAGTAAGTTCCTAACTATAAAGATCAAAAAGACTCACTCCGTCCCTAGATAATAGGCCACATATATGAGTTCCTAGCGAGTTTAATATAACAATCCTCATTATTATGAGAGGAAACAAATTACTCAATTAGAAGCGTGTGGCCTATTAAACAAGAATGGAACGAGTTACAGTTTATATAGTTTTCAGTAACTTCTGTTTTATACTCCATATATAACAAGTGCTTATAACATATTAATGCTATGACATATGAATGAAGTGCCTGATGGAAAGCCGGTCATTGGGCCTATTCCTTCCATGCCGAATGTATACCTTGCAACCGGACATGAAGGTGGAGGAATCAGCATGGTAAATTACTGTTTTTTCAGCAGAATTATGGAAACTGAAAAATACATCAGATTATGTAAATTTTGGTAGATAAATTGACTTTTTTATGTTATGTTCAGGCTCTTGGGACAGCTGAACTGATTGCAGATATGGTATTGGGAAATTCCTTGAAACTTGATCCTACGCCTTTTGCTGTGGAAGGTCGATGCTGTTGAAAAAAAAATTCGCTTCGTATCCAAAATCCAAGAATGTTCTTGATTTTGCACGAAAATGAGCTGATTATGTTGGGATCTTTCTCATAAAATTTTGTTGTTTAAAGGGCATGTATCAGTATAACAGTTTTGAGAATTTGCTCCTGATGTATTAGTATGTGATTGCATTGTGATTTCTGTCAAGAATCATATACTTCTCTTATTTTCATCGAGCCTTGTTCTCTTCAATTATTTTGGTTAAATTTAACAAAGCATCACTAATTAAAATTACATTACAAAGGTGAGCTTTAAACACCGAATCTCATTGAATGAAGATCACACTCATTACCAACTTAGCTAGAAATAAATAATGTTATACCTATCACGTAAAAATACAAGTACATATTAAAATGTAGAATAAAAGGAAAAAATCTAAAATAATTTATTGTTATCATTGTAACAAAAAAAAAAAGTCACACTCCGAGTAACATTCCTAATTAATGAATTAACGATAAGTATGACACGCACTAATTAATGAATTAACGATAAGTATGACACGCATGATGCTCTGGTGTGTTAAAAAGCAAACGACGCCGTAAAACAACCAGTTTACAAGTTTACAACAACTCCGATTCGCCCAATACGCTCTTTGCTCCTGACTGAGGAGAGATACTGAACAACTAACTGGTGGAAATTCATTCACTTCTAGGGTAAATTTTCCCTCCATTTTTTCGCCTTTTCGATTAATTTCTGCAATTCTTTTGCTTCGATTTATTCTCGCAATTTTATGATTTTAGTTGTTCTTTGTAATTTCTCCCATTTTCATTGTATTTTGTAATTTCTGCGATATTGAACATGGAAATTTTGGGAATTTTATGATAGGTTTTCCAGATTATTCTTTTTTATCGTTTTTTGTTTGATTCTCGTTAATTTTTTTGTTTGTAACGTAGATGAATTGTACCATGTTTGTTAATTCTTTTCTTTGTCGATTTTTTTTGTGATCAAATTATGTCGTTCAATTTTAATAAAATGCAATTTTAACATGGGAATTCTTATTATGTACGGGTGATTTCCAGGTAAATTAACCCTTTAAAATCATTTTATAACCCCTAATTTCTTGTACTTTAAGTCGATTCCCTTATTTACAACCAGTTCTGATTTTGTATTGTTTTCATGGAAAATTTTTAATCATTATCATGCTAGTTTTAATGTTGCTGATGATTTCTAAGCTCCGATTGCATCATAGAATTTTGAATAAAAAAGGGTGCTTTACTCCATTCGTATGATCGTATCTTGCCAGCTTAAATTGGGTGGTTTATTTTGTTGGCATTTGTTTAGCTGATCTATTTCTTTTAGAGGGAAAAGGCTTAAATTCATAGTAAATTTAGTAGGCTACAGTTAGTGGAAAATACTGATAGATTGTTGGTTATCCCATTTCCTGATCATCACGTCACCTACGCACAATAATACAGTATTGTGCTTCAAGATCTCCAAAATATGTGTGATTTTCAAACCTCTTCAGGAACCAAGGGAAAAATGCAGCAGTCGAGCCTAAATGTAATGTAACCCCTTGGACGCTTTATTTCAGTTCTGAACCCTGAAGTAATTGGCTGTGTGTGCATCAGATAGTTCCTTAATTTATGCAATTTAGTTATATATAATTGTGTGCAGAAATGGCCGGGCTTGCTTGCTTCTGAGTTCTTACTATGTGCTTTCCTGAAAGATTAACATGTACAATTAATCCCTTCTTTAGTTCTCTTCAAACACTCTGGTTGCCTCTTGCCTGGCAAGCAAAGTGACTTAACACCTTTGTGATATGTAATTGCTACAACTCCCCAGAACTTTATTTTGGTTGCAGGCGCTAGTACATTTACTTGTACATTATGGAGCTGAATAAATTCAAAGGATCTTTTGAGCACGTGGTAAAGAAGCGAAAATTATCATCTTCCAAGTGTCATGATGTGGTTGATACTATCAACCATGAGCTTGAGCATGCTTTATCAAGAGTGCAATCAGATCAAAACCTTACCGTTCCAGAGGATCCTAAATCCATTTTGAGGGATCTGAAGTCCAAGCTTTCTGATTATGGCTCAGAAAAGGAGCTGGAAAACTCACAGAAAGAGCTGAACTTACATCTCAACAAGTCTCAAAAGCTCCTTGAGAAAGTACTGAATCCTGATATATCTAAGGCGAACGGAAAGATTGACTTTGATGTTCAGACAATTAATCTGATTATCATAGATCATCTCTTTTTCAAAGGCCTGTTTGATATTGGAGACTGTTTAAGTAAAGAGGCAGTTGTCCCAGAAGTTAATGTGCTACGATCTCAGTTTTTTGAAATGTCCCAGATTCTGGAGGCTCTTCACAGTGAGAATTTACAACCTGCCTTTAACTGGGTCTCTGCCAACCATGAAAAGCTCAGAGAAAATGGTTCAAGTCTTGAGCTGAAACTTCATCAGGTGCGATATGTGGAGTTACTGAAGCAGGGAAGCCAAACTGATGCCCTAGAGTATGCCAAAAACAACCTTGCTCCTTTGGCTACTTTGCATATGGATGAGGTTAAAAAGCTCATGGCCTGTCTTTTATGGATAGGAAAGCTTGATAAATGTCCTTATTGGGAAAAGTTGGCTATGACTAATTGGAAAGAGTTAGCTGATGAACTATCACAGCAGTTTTGTGTGCTGTTAGGCCGTTCTTGTCGTCCACCATTGGCGGTGGCTGTAGAAGCAGGATCTGAAGCGTTGCCTATTCTCTTGAAGCTTGTGAATCTGAAGGCTGTGAAACAGGATTGGCAAGGGATGGAGGAGCTTCCATTTCCTGTGGATCTTGGAATGGGTTTTCAATTCCATTCGACATTCATATGCCCAGTGACTAGGGATCAAGGAACTCCAGAAAATCCCCCCATGTTGCTGCCTTGTGGACATGTGCTGTGTCGGCAATCAGTCATGAGTATCTCCAAGAATAACAGCAGGACCTTTAAATGCCCATGTTGCCCCCGTGATAATATAGCAGTTGCACAATGCAGGCAACTGCATCTACCATGATGATTGTATAGTCCTTTTAGTTACAGTTGTCTCATGCGTAGAGATTCAGAGAACAGATATCTCAGGATTAGAGTATTTGTATTTATCAAATGGCAATTCTCGTTATATAAAGCTAGTAACAGTTCACAGCCCAGTTGGTATGTTTTGAAGTTACATTTCTGATGTACAGTATATTTTTGTCAATGCTTATATTTTGTGTAAATAGTGAAGTGATATCCCTATGCTTTTTTTTGTTTTTTTTTTTTTTTTTTTTGACAGAATATCCCCGCTTGGACACAGTTGAATGAGTTGATGCACAGTGAAAGCCTTTCGAGGCCACACTGTCTGTTGAAATAGACATAATATACGAAGTATAATTCAAAGTTAAATGAGAAGGGCCTGATAAATTCGGAATTGTTAAGGGTTAAACGATTTTAATTTTTCATCAATGCACTTGTTGAAGTTAGTTGTTGAGAATTCAGTGTTAAAAATACACCAACTATTTCACTAGTACGCCGCTAAGCCAGAAAGATTGATCGAGTTTTACCTCATTATCAACCTCCCCCTCCGGCCCTCCCCCTTCACAGTAGCCTAAGCCAAAACTAGTTAGGTAAATCAGTTGAATACCCCTCCCATCCCACTAGAATTGCCCGATTATTCGGTTAGAGCTTATTTTGGGTCAAAGACATAGGTCGGAGACTCGGAGGGAGTAGTCGGAGTGCCTATCTTTCTTCGAACTTGCTACAATGTAAAGTTTTAACATTTAGTATACTTCGTAGTAAACTTGCTACAATGTAAAGTTAAGTGTAAGCAATATATGAACATAATCCCCACTAATTGAGTTCAACCAAATGGATTGACATTAGCATATTTAATGGAATGTTTCAAACTAAAAAGTATACTCCATAAATAGTAACAATATTTGTATGAGAACAGAAAAATCTAAAATTCAAGAGAAATCTGCAAAAATAGCTCCAATTAAAGGGGAGCAAGCATTGTTCATAATCAACATATTCAATGAAGTCGAAGATAATCAAACTACACAAATGGAGAAATAATCCCCAAAAATTCAAAGAACCAAAAATCAAACAATTCCTCCAATAACACTAATTATAAGGGGAAAACCCCATGATTAATTTCTTCAAAGTAGGAAATAAAACATCAGAATTACTCGATTTTAACTCATCTTTCTGAAAAAAATCTGAACTTTCATTCTCCTTTGAATCATTCATCACAAACTCTTCAACCAAATCTTTAACAGATTTAGGTGACAATGGATGAAAATTCAAACCCCAATCAGAAACAAACCCTTTAACCAAACCCAATTTATCATCTGGGCTCAAATTCCTCCATTTGCTCATAACATCATCTGGGTTCATATCAAGGTAGTTGCAGAGGTCAGAGAAAAGCAGCTGTTTGCTTATCTTCATAGCATTTTCTCTCTCCTTTGACTGGGTATTTAACTTATTGACTTCTGCAGCAAAGTCTGAAGCTAAGTCTGAATCACTGATTTTGTTGAGTTTATTTGGGTTGTTGTCTCCTCTGCTGAAACAGAGGAAGGTTTGAGATTGAGGGTAGAAGGAGAGAGAAAGAGGATTTGTTGAGGGTTTTAGAGGGTTTCTGAAATTGGGGAGAGGAAGAAAGGAAGGTGTTTTAAAGGAGAAAGACATGATTTTTCGAAGGTTTGAGTTTTTTCTTGAGTTTGGATTGTGATGAATGAGTGACTTGCTTAAATGGTGGTTATTATTGGGCAAATAAGATAATAACATATTGACAACAATTTTATTTTTTTTTACTGAGTCAATTAGGTTAGTTTCAAGCTGAATTTTAGGTAAAAAAAAAATTGAGCTTGAATTGGATGAAGCTGTTTCGGTTGATAAAATCTTACTAGAGACTTTAGACTTTGTTATTTTAACCTATAAGGTTACAAGTTATAACCCTCATTGGAAACTCTTCATGAGAACTTATTTGAATTTGTTTAAACTCGTTTTACTGGTTTTAATTGAACTTAATAATCATAGATTGTTAATCTATGGTCGACATGAACCAAAACATCAACAGAATATTGAAAAGGAACGAGTTGAACATAATAGCAAGATGCTGTTGCCAATCAGATAAACAAATTTTCACTGTGATAATGTTAGAAGTTTCTGAAGTCTCACCAGTTCATTACAGTATTGTATTGTTGTTGCCTACAAAAATTTACTTCATATTTTTAACAAAGTGGAACGAATCCGAAAAAGAAAGCCTCTACATTTTCAGGGTAATACTTCGTATTACTAAGTTAGCATATGTATAAATGAAAGAATTAAGCCTATAAATCATCTAGGACTTGTGTTCTATTACAGCTACAAGGACTCTGCAACAGCATATCCAAGGTCGTCCAGCAGACTTAACCTAATCTTCCGGCAGACCAGTTATGTGAATATGTGAAATCTGAAATATATAACGCAGTCTTCAGCCCAAGATATAAACTTAAGCAGATGAAATCAGATGTTGAGCTTCCACATCGTAATCAAAACCTGTTCGGTGACCCTTGAACTTGCCTGACATTGTAAGCACCGGATATCAAAACATTTCAAGGGAAGTTGTCTAACTAGTCTTGAACAGCAAATACCCTTTCAGACCATAAGAAAATAGGATTTCTGATTTCTTTTCTTGCTAAAATGGTTCAAATTCTATTCACATTGAACACTCAATCCCCAAAATTGTAGCGAATCAATTCTGATAATATATCAACCCAAGTGTCAGGAAGACCAGGAAGGCACCAATGCATGCAATCTTGGCCCCAAACTGCAACGGCATCCTTCTTTCCAAGCCATATTGCTGGATGAGCATCTGCTCGGTACTCACTCAGATGACTCAAGTCGAGCTTTTGAATGTTGCTTCCTCGTAATGCCTCATCAATCACTTGATTAAGCTCTCTTGCTTCTTTGTTGACTCCATTGTTGACGGGATCAAACCACAAATCAAGCTACATGGGAATTAGTTCTTTTGAATTCAAGGTGAATTGCCATGAATCAACAAGAGCAACTGGAAAAAGAAAGCCTAAAGCAGTCCAAACCTGAGGTTCTTCAAGGGGTTCATCAAACAAGCAACTGCCGTTCTGATTCCACTCTCCACCAAAAAAGTGCCTTGGTGACTGCATCCGCCAAAGTTTGAGCCTAGTGTTAGGAACTTCCTTTTCTATGTATGATATCATACTTTTCAAGACAACTTTAAGCCCATCCTGAAAATCAAGGGAGGGGAGAATAGGCCTTCCATTGTGATAGAACACAAGAGGCGTCTCTTTTGGGAATTTATGAGGGCCCCACCTAATCAGCACAAAATTGTTTGAATATAAACCATGTTAAGAAGTGACTCAACAAAAGTGAAGAAACAAAAAGGAAACCAAATAAATAATGCAATAAAGCTGAAATATAAAACAGCCTCACATTATTTTCTATGATGTTACAATAGGAAAACAGGGATCTAAACTGATCCCCCAAACAGGTGAGAATAGTTACTATCTGCATGTACTATCACATTGATAGCACCAAATCAGTGTGCCTTAATTCATTTGGTATACTTCCTCCGTTTCTTTACAGTTGCAACACTTCCCTAAAATGGAAATGTCACAATAGTTGCACACACTGTAGAAGGAAGGTTTTTATGGTGAAAATTGTATTATCACCTTTATTAAAACTCATGGCCCACTTGATTATACTCCTAACAACCTCATAATCCCATTTTAAGTGTATTATATCATGTGAGGTCCACTTTTCTTAAAATACCGTGATAAAGTGTATGTTGCAACTATAAAAAAAATGGAGGAAGTATAACTTAACGAAATGTAAATGGCCAAGAAAACATAAGATTACCAATGGCCAGTGTTAAGGACGAGGACATCATAAAATTTGGTGATCTGGACCCATTCATCTGCAGGAACATCAACGTCCACTCTATATATGCCTTTTAATCCATCCTGGTCAGACTCTTTTGGCTGCCACCTATACTCAGTCACACATACACAAACAGGTTATGTTTTGCAAAAAATGTCAATATCAGAAACAAATCACCACAACCTAAAAATGGTGTTTATAACTGTTAAATTAGGCAGAAATTTGAATTAGATCAGAAAAGAAAAGCGACAATAAAAAAAAAAAAAAAAGAGAGAGAAATTCAAGTCCAACCCCTTAAGTAATTCATCACCGTGCAAGAATTTCTCTTAGAATAATCCAAGTCAAACTGTCTCAAGATTGTAAAGTTCTCCGCTCATTCACTTTCTCGTTCAATTAACTATCAGGGTGCATAATATAACCAAAATCTTATATCAGTTATTTGTATGGAGGATGTTTTGATTTCTGTATACAGTCTGCTGTAATCAGCAGGTAACATAACAATAATAAGCATAAAAAATATTTACTAGTCACTAGTACAATTACCACATGATTCACATCATGAGATGCCAGCCCAACTTCTATCAATAGAGGATGAAAAATTAAAAAAACTTCTAGCATCTAGATGAAAGGACTTCTACCAACACAATGTCACATAAATCATAAATAGATAACTTTAAGAGCTAAATTAGCAATGCCTGTGGAGCAATAACAAACACCAAAGGCAGGGACAAAAGACCAATACCATCCAAGGCTTCCTAGAGAGTTGTTTAAGTTACTCCCCATTCCTATCAATAATTGATAGATGAATTTGGCAAAGTCTAGTAGAGCATCTCTCTACTGAAACAGCTTGTGAACTAAGGCTTATTGCTGACAAAGTTCACCAGCTGCTTCCTATGCAATCTATAATTAGCTGAAAGCTATAATTAATGAGAGAGGAATCCTCCTATCTCTCAAGGTTGTGAATTAGTCCTTACTCCTTAACGTCACCTTATATGAGCTATAATCCCATAAACCAATTCCTGCAGGCTACAATTGAAACCTAGACCTTGGTACACACAATTAAGGCCTCAGTTAAACCAGTATTTCACTATTTTGAGCCTTGTGATGATTCAGAATGAAAAATAATACATATGAGCAAATCTTGGTTATCACATTATTCCATCTACTGGCCACTTCTGCCCTCAAAAGCTATGCATTCCTTGTTCCCGTCAATTCTTTATAACCACTCTAGCACATCTAAGAGTTTCTTAAGAATATCAACCCTAAAACTAATATTTTTCTAATGCTATATCATACAGTTTCTTCTATCAATTAATAATACTTCCCAATCACCTAACTTACAATGAAGCTTCACATCCCATTAAAAAATTATCTTTGCACGCTCATGCCTAAGACATTAAGACATACACCATGCTTCCATCCTAGGACATATCATTTGATCACCTTCCAAATAGTATCACTAAGAAAATTTTGTTCCACATCTCAAGAGATTAACTTTGAACCAACTATGGTCAAATCCATCTACCAAATTGCTAAATTACAATGGATCTAAATATGATATCGGCCAGTTACACCATTCTGATAAAAATGAGGTTTCATACTTTCATATAGAGCTCATGATACTTGCTCTCCAAACATTGTCACAATTCATAATTACCTTCCTACACTAACAAGACATCAACACATCATAAAGTTTTATCAAAGCATCACTCTTGCATCACAAAATTGTCATATACATGTATAAAACCATGTTGTAAAGAATGTAACTTCTAAAATCCATTAAAAAAAAAAATGTAATCATAATTTCAAATGAAGAAGTGATCTTACTGATATTTAGCATTCAATTACTTCTAAATATATTCTTTTCAATATTTGTTAACAGTGCACATTTATAGATATTTTTTATAATAAGTAAACAATTATAAATTATTGGAGGGGAGAGAAATGGAGGGATTAAATTGTAAGAAATTCATCTCTCCATCAACAGAGATATTATATTATTACTATAATAAATTGAACTATTGGTAAAAAAAAAAAAAAAAAAAATGTAATCATAATTTCAAATGAAGAAGTGATCTTACTGGTATTTAGCAAGCAAAACAGCGCGGTGATAAGCAACAGTGACATTAAACTTAGGGAAATAAGCACCTCTCCAAGCACCCTTCTTTTTCCACTTCTTAGCACCATTATCAGCAACCCTCAAAATACACAAAAAAGCAACCAAGAAATTCTCATTCAAAGAATCCCCAATAAACCCAATATTCTTATTTCTCATCATACCTAGAAACCCAAATGGATCAATCTGATTCAAATTGCAATTCTCAGGCACCCATTTCCAAGAATTAATCATACCCATTTTTTCTCTCCTGTTTCTCAAGCAATTCCAGGCGTTTCTGTGAAATGGGCAAGTTTCATCATACATGGGTTTTCGATTCGGGTCGGATACCCATCTCCCCTTGAAGAAATTGCATTGATTTAGAGAAGTAAAGTGGGTTTTTTGATCGGGTTCGGGTTTGGAATGGGAAATTGGGAGTTGTTTGGGAGAGGAGAAAGAGAGGAGAGAAGAGTAGAGGTAAAGAAGGATGAGAGTTGAGAAGATTAGAGATGTGAAGAGAGTAGTGGAGTTTTTTAGATGCATTTTCATTGGAGTTCTTTAATGGCGAAAAGTAGAGGAGATCAGCCACTGTTATGGCGTAGGAAAAGGAAAGAGGACGAATTTGGACTGCGATTTCCTGGTGAGAGCATAGTGATTCATTAAGGATCTACAATGGGGTGGTTCGGTTTATACATGGTTCTGACCACTAAATAGGACTCTCGGGTCTTTAGATAAGAATGAAAAGCATCTTGATTCTCTAACCTTGTTAGGTTCGGAAATGCTTTTAAAAGAAAAAATTGAAAACTTAATTACACGAAATTTACTCATTTTTGAACACTTTTGAAACTCTATGTTGAAAACTCAAGTAGTAGTGGCGGTGGGGCATCCTAGATTCGTAAAACATATGCGTTCATTGATTGGCTACATAAGGGCTCAGGAAGGTTTAGAGTCAATGACGGGAAACGTTTTTTGTAGCTGGTTAGTTGATAGTTAAAAGGCAAGGTAAATGGTTTTCAATTACCCAAGTTGCATCTCAAGGTCTTAGAGGTCCATGGTAAGCCTTTCGCCTTCTAACTTTTTTCAACTCTAGAAAAAAATATTGTACACAAAATTAGACTATGTTCAAGACTTGGTGTTGGAACTCAAGCGATGTTATGGGGCATCCCAAAGTCATAAAAGGATATCTAAGACCATACACGCCCATTAACCGATCACATATGTGAAGGTCTTAAATCAATGACGAGAGGTGTTTCTGTAATAGTTTCAATTGAAAGTACTTAAAAAAACAATGTAAATGGTTCTAACTTCCCAGAGCTCTCACGTTGCACCATTGTTGATGTTTGTTGTTTACAGTGACACGGTGACACCTACCAAGGAAATATCTAAAGACGCTTTATAAATCATTTACTTAAAAAAGACATTTTCTTATCCATTCTTAATTTAAAACAAAAATCTATAATTTCCAACAAGCTAATTACCACAAATCAAAATCAAATAATTCAATTTTCTTCCCAAATAAAATCCAATCATCAATCACACAAAGAAAGAGACGAAGCAAAAATTCATTGACCACCCATCCAAAATTCCAAATATCCAAAATTCCAATGTATTTGGAATTATATTAGAGAATCCACTTATTATTATTATTGACATGACCACCGTTGCCATTACTCTTCCACCACCTTTCTTTCATACAACAACACCATCACATTCTTCTTCCATTTCTTTGGCGGCTATTCTTCGTCCACGATTTTCTCTCTCCTCTCTTCCATCAATTCGTTGTATTTCTTTATCTTCTGGTGAGCTTTTCTTTTTCTCCATAACCTTGTTTTCTTGATAAAAATCCAATCTTTTTTTGATTTTTTATTTTTGGTGAGCTATTTTTTCTTCCTTTTAACCTTAAGTTCTTGATAAAAATCCAATCTTTGTTTCCGGATCATGCATTTTAGATATGTAAATTGCCCTAATTTGTGATTAAAAATGGTTTCTGCTGTTGGATTTTTAGTATTTTTGGTATTTGATTAATGGGTATTTTATGATTTCTTGGCTTTTTTTTATTGATGGTTCTGAGGTGTTGATGATTAATTCAATGTGTATTAAGCTGATTAGGTTTATTTCACAAATTATTTGTATAATTTGAGTTGTAAATAGGTTTGATTGGAAGAAATGATTGTCATAGTCAAGATGTCGCTTTCTCATTTTTGGTGTGCTAAATGTGCAAGATTTGAAAACAATGGAAGTGAATTAATGCACAAGACTAACTCCTTAGGCTCCATGACTTAACTTGACAACTTAAGTCTTAAAGTATTTATGGACTCCTTTCAAAGCAAATTGTTGGAATTTTAGAATCAAGAGATGCTAGAATAGCCGGGGCCATTGTCCCCCCGATTAAGAGATTGAGGGTTCGATTCTTATCTAACCTTTGCGCCTTCCCTTCAAACTGAAAAAAAATGATATATATATATATATATATATATATATATATATATATATATATATATATATATATATATATATATATATATATATATATATATATATATTAAGAATATTCTCTCCTTTTTAAGGAAGTTCTCTTATTTCAATTCTCTATAATGCCTATATGGATTGTTAGCTTACTATACCAAACAAAAGAAAGACAGCTCCTATTAGATACACCATCTGTACATAACATAGAAGCATATTCTTTCAATTAATGTAACAACAATCCGTAATTCCAATTCGCCTAGATTGTGCAAGAGCATATTCGTTCAATTAATGTAACAACAATCATTAGGGGAGCCAATCCACAAGGCGCATCCAATTCCCCTAGATTGTGCTAGATTTGCTGGTAGTGTGCGTAGGACATATAACAAATATTAGGCTACTGGCCATCTTGGCATATTCTTGCAATCAAAACTTCGTCGGATATAGATTAGGAAAATGCCAGTGGAAAGCACGTTGCTCTCGGTAATTTGGCTGAATTTTAGAATAATAGAGAGCACTGGCTCTTATTCTATGGTAAATGATTACTAAAAAGTCTAAAATAGTTAGATTGAGGCCTTGTTACATTGTGGTAAAACTCTGGCATTTGCTTAATAATTTGTTTTATATGTTTCAGCTGTAAGAACTGTCAGTTCTGCAAGCTGATATTATTTTCTTCTCTTGATGTATTTATATTCTTCTTCCCATTTTGATCGATGTTTTTATCATGGGCTTTAACTCTTGTTCATTCACTTAACCATGTTCTACCTTAATTCCAGCCATGGACAACGTGAGCAGTCCAAGTTTATTTCCACTGCATCATTGCAAAGTTATTCACCTGGTTGGTGCCTGTATTTTTCTTACACATGCGAATCTTCATCATGCCATCATGGGTTTAAGGATGCTATTTTTTTTCGCCTTTGTGAAGTCAAGAATGTTCTCTTGCTTTTTGTTTGTGGTTTTGTACACCATGAATTAGGTGAGGCATGCACAAGGACTTCACAATATAGAAGGCGAGAAGAATTACAAGGCATATATGAAACCTGAATATTTTGATGCTCCCTTGACTCCGTTAGGTTGGCAGCAGGTAACAAAAGTATCATGTATGCCTCCTATGCTAACGAGTATATTTGTTTCTTGCACAGGAAAAAAATGTTATTTTTGAAAATTAATAATTATATTGTCTTTAACAATTTTTAGAAACACCAATGAAACTTTTGTTATTCATGCAGGTTGATAATTTACGACGGCATGTTCGTGATTGTGGCCTCTATAATAAAATTGAATTAGTCATAACATCCCCTTTGCTAAGGTAATATCTTTGGGACCAATATACAATGCATAATCCACTTTTCTCATTTTAACCAAATTATGCATAAGGTTTGCTTAGATTTTAACTGTGGTATTCTTTTCTTTTCATGCCTATTCTCCCAAGGTAAATTTACACTCAACTGGTACTTTATCTAGTCAATTCTGACTAGCTTATATCTACTTATGGAAAAAACTTAAATATTAGGCACGAGAAGAAGATGGGGGTAACATATTTCAAAATTTTAGGGATAGCCATGATCTCAAGAACGTCTGTTCTTGCAATCTTGTTGCCTAAGTCACGCAAGTGTCTTATTTTTGTACATGGCTTAGATGAAGTTATTGTTTTATTTCACTCCTCTACTCCTTGTGCTCTGTTATCTTAATGACTTGATTTTAGCCATTAGTCTGCAAGCAATAATGCTTTTCTATAACAAATTTAAGAGTTAGTAAAAAAGATAAAAAAAAAAAGGTGGCCAGTATACACATAATCATATCTTGCATATGAAATGTATGAGAATCTGATTGTTATTGTATGCAGGACTTTGCAAACAACAGTTGGTGTTTTTGGCGGTGAGGGCTATACTGATGGGATGGACGTGCTGCCAATGATGGTGGCAAATGCTGGAAACAGTGACCGTTCTGCCATTTCAAGCCTAAACTGCCCACCTATTATGGCTGTTGAGCTTTGTCGTGAGCATTTGGTATGTTCTTAAATGTTACTGTTCCTAAATATTGCACCATTTGCACTTTTGAAATTATTCACATTCCAGACATATTACATGTTCTCTGCATTGTTTATACCACAATCCCACCAAATGTACTCTACTACTCGGTTACCTGATATTCTATGTCACTATGGTTGCCTTTTAGTTAGAGATGTACATTTCTCTCGAGAAACAGGAGTGTTTACTGATCATCTCTATTTTATTATTCTAATTTCAGGGAGTTCATCCTTGTGACAGGAGGAGACATATTCAAGATTATCAATGTCTTTTCCCTGCTATTGACTTTTCACAGGCAAGCACTCTTTACATTCAAATGCATAAGATGGAGAGCAGACTCTGATGAAACGTAGATATGTTTCTATACTTGCAGATAGAAACCGATGAAGATACATTATGGAAGGCTGATGTTCGGGAAACCAAAGCAGAAGTTGCAGCTAGGGGAATGAATTTCATGAATTGGTTTGTACATGTAGTAATATGATATGTGTGAATGGTTTTCTTATGCTGTTACTAAATACATGCCTCAATATCTTCTAGTAATCCAGTCATGGACTGTTATGGGTTGCATGCCTACATCATCCACCAAAGTTATAAAAAAATAAAATAACTGTGAAAACATGACCTTCACAGTACATTTTTTTTATTTTATTTTTCAAATTTTTTTTTAATTTGGAGTTGATTTGTCATCTAGATCATGTGAATAGTTTGCGCTTCTGGTTTCCTTCACATTATGTTTTTTGCACTTTGAGTTACTTGAGCTTACACGATAGTAAGTTTCCTTGAGGAGCATTATTTGAGCTTACACAATAGTTAGTTGAGTAATACATATGAGCATTGTTAGTTATTGTTTCTCTGGATTAGCATCTTGTTTTGCCCTTGACAATAAAAGCTTATCACCTTTTTCATGCCATGGCTCTTGCCAGATCCCCACAAACTGAATACTTTTCTCAGATCATTGTTACACTGTTTCAGATATTACAGTCTTTGCATAACAAATGCACGCTGCTTCTTTCCAATTGTCTTACACAGGTTACTGACAAGGAAGGAGAAGGAAATAGCTGTTGTAACTCATAGTGGTTTTTTGATGCACACTCTGAGTCAATTTGGAAATGACTGTCACCCTCTGATGAAGGATGAAATAAGTAAACGGTGCGTGCCATCTATCCTTTTTATTGCACCATTGACACTTATATGTTTCAATTATCAGCTATACTGGTTTGCTTCATATTATGTGACAATTTCACTTGGACCAACTTTTTACTGTTATCATAAGTTGTATTCTTTATGGTGTGTGCAATCTAGCTCGAAATTGATCTTAGTTTCTGTATGAGCTAAGTTATCTGTTAAAACTCGTTCCACATCAATAGTGGAAGGACAATGGAGAGTGATTCCTTTTCGATAATGTCCATACAAACATCTACCCATCTATCATAGCACTGAGTCAATGGCTTTGTCTTTTCTTGCCACTTTCTAACTCTGATATTAAACCTAAATTACATTATCTTTTATACGTTGCAGCTTTAAAAACTGTGAGCTTCGTTCAATTGTCCTTGCCGATAGGAAGTGAGTTCTTTGTTATACTATGAGATATTCCCAACTCTTCAATTTCTGGGTGAGTTCATTAGCTAACTATAGTTGGTTTTCAGTATGATAGGGTCTAACTCTAATGCACCAGTCACCAATTATCCCGGCAAGATACCAGACGGGCCTGATCTTCCTAGTGATCTTGCTGATGAAAAGGAAAACAGTCATTGCTGAGTAAGAACTATCATAACTTACACTGATTTTGATTAGATAGTTTTCATTTCAAACTTACATTCTAGTCTTTTTTTATGCAGATCTGTTGGATGGATGTTCATGCATTGTTCTCGTCCAACAATTTGAGATTATGATGATATTTGAACGGTAAAATATTGGGAGTGGCAGCAGACTCAAGGTTGTTAACACCGAACATGGAAATCATACCGAGAAGTTTAAGGGCCTGTTTGATGATGACGAAATGTTCTTTGAGACACCTCTGTTAAATTCAACATACTTATTGATATTCGGCTGATGTTGAGAGTTTTAGGCATTCTGCAGTTATATTAGTTCTATGAAGGCTGAATTTTATTTATCTTTCTCTTGATAGTGCTGTGTTGATATATTTGCAAAGGAATTTGAACTATATTGACATGGTGTGGATTCAAAATGTACAAATTTATCAAAAATGTTTAGACTTCAAATATTTAGTTCTCATTTTCGAGTTGTTTAAGCCTTATAAAAATCTATAACTATATGTATGGCAATATATCTATGCAATATCACAAAACAAATGTCTTACATAGTTTTAATTCACCAATCCATTTCTTTGTAAAGAAACTTATATAAGACATATAAAGCAAATGAATTTTTATTCAATGCAATACATCATAATGTACTCAAATGTGAAGCAATGTATAATGTACATGAATCTTGTAAACAATGGATTAGAACAATAATGCCGATTAGAACCCGCTTATGTGTAGGAAGCAACATGAATAGGATCTTTAACATCCCAACATCATATCTAAATAAAATGTAAATTCTGGAGACTCGGAAATGGGAGACGCCATCTATGCACCCTTCAAGATATCATAGTACGAAGCTGGTCTTTTCTTGGTCATCCCATATGATTCCTAACCATAAGAGAAACGATTGAACATGGCTAAGAAAAGCTGGTGATCAAAGGAAGGTTAGCATGATAACAATTATGATATTGTCACTAGTCATTCATGGAAGTCATATACCTCGATGACAGATGCCAAACGCAAAAGTGTTGCTTCATTCCATGGTCGGCCTATAAGCTGTAAGCCAATCGGTAGTCCCTGCTCATCATAACCAATCTGAAGGAACATATGATTGAATCATTTTAAGTTGGTGAAGAGAGTTATCCTTCAATAACTAGAACAAATGATTGACAAATCACTTATAATCAACCAAAATAGATGGCTCACCGGGATAGAAATGGCAGGGAAACCAAGAAGATTTGCAGCCACAACAAAGCGCATCAGGTAACCTATTAGTGGAAGTACAGGAAGAAGATTTATCACTGCATTAGCCAAGTAGTATGAAAATCTTGCACTATCTCCGTCTAATATCTATGCATGACTAAAAGAAAACAAACACAATTTCTTTCTCTAGCTTTTGACCATGTAATTGCATATGATGATGACTATCCCTATCTAGTATCTATAATAACAAAATCTGTTATTGGCCATGTATAAATGTATTTTGAGTTATTGACTCCAAATCAATGTAAACAACAAGACGGCATGAAGTAGCCATTTCATGTTGATTTTTAGAAATGTAGTCCAATTAAGGCCAGCTGAACTCAAACCAAAACCTTTCTTTTTGTTGGGGCCATGGAAGTCATTAGTCAGATTGAGGCATTCATAAGGCTATACAGAACAAAAGAATAAGAATCATGGGCGGGTGTGAGAGGGAAGAGTTTTTTAGGCAAGTGCCACTCTTCCTGTCATCCAGATGCCGGACATATACCCTGCCGAGAAACAGGTGCCACCTAGACCTGGTTAATTGGGCGGGTCGGGTCAGGGTCGGAGCGGGTCGATTGTGGGTCGGTTTAAAAATGGTCACATTTTATAGGGTCAATAGTGGGTTGGGCCAATGAGGGTCACGAGTCAATAATGGACAAACCACCAAAATATCAATAAAATGTATTTTGGACATAGCCATTATTAGATATATATGAATACAATTTATCTATGTAATTATTTTACAATATCTATTTTCCTTATCTATTAAATTGAAAAAACATTTTAGCCCTGTATTGACCCTACCCAATAAGGGTCTTGTCCATTAGAGGCGCTGTCCATTAAAAGCCCTTTAAGCTTGGCCCTGACCCTATCATCATTGGGCTCCCTACCCAATAACCAGGTCTAGAGCCACCTCAACAGCTATATTCTAAATCGTTAAGCCTCACAACCCTTTTCCTTAGTATCTAACCTTTACCGCTTTCTATGTACCCAGTCACTGAACCTCAAAATCTAGTATAAAACTATAAATATATGATGAAATCTAATTCACCTGAAACCTGCAAGTTTGTCTCTCCAGATTTAAGAGCGCTAGTGGGTATAAGTGGAGCTGTCATGCTGTTCATTAAAAATTTGAAAGGCATCGTTATTAATATTTGAAGCTATAGAAACTTAAAAGACATTACATCTATGATTGCAGACATTTAAACTAGTGTAATGTGAGAACCACAAAATTATTAAACATGCGAAAAATATGTATAGCTAAGAGCTGTTTTGGTTGCCATCGAGAGTAGCTTATGGAAAACTGCAGATTATATCTTGGAAAGAGGAAAACCTCACGAGTTCTCCCAACATTGGAAAACAAAACTGCTGAAGAGTAAATTGGTCCCATTTTAGCTTGTGCAATTGTTATATGTCAAAAAATTTAAGCATACCCAGTGGTTGGTGTCACTATGATGTCCACCTTCTTGAAGACCTCCATGTGGTAGTTCATCATCCTTCGCCTGCATTAAGCCAGTAACCGGCATAAAAACAAACCATAGAAGGAATATACAGCTCAATTTCCAAGTTTTTATATTATAAGTCAGGAAGATATCCATAAACAACCAAAAGGGAAATAACATGAGAAGGCCCCCCTACCCCTAAAAAAGGAGATAACATGAGACTAAAAAGGAAGTTAGATAAAGCTATGATGAAAACTCGTGTTGTACCAAGCTAACCTGTACCGGAAGACATATCATATATTTTTTAGACATAGCACGCAATAGTAATAGTTGCACATCTGAAACTACTGAGCTTAATCTCAAATACCAATTATCTAATGAAGACACAAAATAATGCCAGGCAAGTTAGTTTTCTCTACACGACAAAAGCAAGATTTTTTCAGCATGTAAAGCTCCCTCACCTAATCCGTTGGGCTGCAATGTAGTCTGTGGCTGAAAAGGAACGGAAAAGTGCCAAATTTGTGCGGGTATCATATGTCAACTTTGAATTATTCCTAAGGAGAGAAATCATTGTGCTTCTATTAGAAAATGGCCTTCAAAACTTTCTTACTTCATAAGAATCTACTTGGCAGGAAAAAGCTTAAAAAGAAGAAAACATACCCCTCTTCGCAATATGGATTTAGTGAGCACAAAGCTTCAGATCCAATTGAAACTACATGTGCAGTGCGCATCTCATGCAGTTCAGGAATAGTAATTTCCTCTGTCTTATGTATACAAACAGAAAGTCTCAGAATACTCTATGCTAACCTTGGAAACATACTTTGGGGGCTGGGAGAGGGCGGAAAATCAAAATATTACAAACAGTATTTAAGTACTTGGAAGAAACCCTTTACTTGGAAATTATAAGTTTCTGAAAGCCAATTCAGAACATCCTCACACTTCTGAGAGACTTCAGTAGAGTACACATCATTGAACCACTGCAGCACAAGAGCTACAAAATCAACCTCAAAATGTTTCACACCCAATATACAAAGATATCACCGTGAAAGGAATAACTAGATTACCTCCGTGTACTTCCCAAGTCGCAATGACCCTACAGCACTGAGCCGGGCTTCAGATGACAGATTGGGTAAGCAAGGTGGAGACTGGAACACAATCCAGAGCGCTGTCAGTTGATGTGTGGCAATAACTTATACAATAGCTCTCAATAATTCAGAAGAAATCAGAAAGGGAGGGGGAATATAGGTAGCAATTTAACTTACAGGTTTTAGGACAATTCTATCTGCAGGAGAGGAACCCAGTATCGCTGCATACCTTTAGAAACACAATTGATAAAGTGAGATCATTCTAGAAGTTATGGGTCAAGCATCGAAGAAGGGGGAAATAGTAAGTTGTTCCGTTTAAGTTAAGTTTATTTTAGTTATTGAAGAAATTAGTCAATTATAAAAGAAGGCCTTGATAAGCAATCCTAACGAATGTGTATAATGGAGCTCAACAAGAAAAAAAACTACAATCCAATAAGCAGGAAAGGATTTGGCCATAGCAGTTTGACACTGGTCTTGCCTCTCTGTCACGTTATTACCTTGGGGAAATAAGTGTACATAATGGTGATCTCAAGGGAACAATAAAAAAAAACACATAGAAATAAAATATTCAATCTCAACTAGCATGGAATCAAATTGCATAATTCTTCGTATAAGACATGAGCAGCCTATAAAAAGAACACTTAAAAGATCTCGCTTTGGCAGCAATCTTAAATCTTGGTCATCCCAAACATCTATATCTATCTATATTTTTATTAAAACTCATGGCAATACATGCCATGCTGCCATGTGTCAATGACAAAATATGTTAAGTTGCCATATGTCACCTTCTCTTAACCAATGAAATGGCACCAAGTAATATGTATAGTCACATCGATCTATTTATATTATTCTTAAAAGCAAAGCAACCAATTATAATTTAAATTAATGCTATCAATAAATTATAACTTTAAAATTAGAGAAAACGTTATAGCTTTTAAAATATATAAACACGCCTTAACATGATTCATGGCCTTTTCAATTCCCATTTTAGATGGTCATAACTATTAATTTAAAAAATCATTTTAGTTTTGGTAATACTCCGTACCTAATATGAAACTAATTATTAATATAGCTGGAAAACCACATTCACTAATTGTAACACAAGTACATCATGATTATCCATTGATGATATAAAAAAAAATATCTCAAACATATAGAGTCCAAAAAATGGATGCAAACATCAAGGGTCAATTCAATAAACTTAAACTTACATCTTGTAAAATTTGTGGGATCAATCAAATCACTAATTCGAGGCTAACGTGATTCTTTGCAAACTATTTTTACTGTATCATAATTAGTTACAATGACATTGAAATTATTGTAATTTTATCTTTGATCTCATGCTGTATTACATTAGATGACCCGAGGGATCGCCCGAGCCAACAACTAGTTATTGTTAAAAATACAATCAAGTACTGAAAATACTGCATACGCATTGAGTTACAATTGAAATTTGTACTTCAATTAAATTACTTGTACACACAGAAATTATATTGCAGCTTAGGATGCTACTAGTAAAATCTTACCCACCAACCCTACTAAATTAACGCCAAAAAAAAACCATTTACAATGGAAAAAAGTACTCAAGTATATATGAACTAGCCTGCAACAGTATAAACATACCTAAAGCTAGTCAAACAAACAACAGCGGCAAATAAATACACAATTCAGTCAATAAGATGCTAACATATTAGGCAGAAAAAAAAAATTAAAAAAAAATTAAAAAAAATTGAAAATCAAGAATGATACGATTATAATAATTTCTTACACAAGCATAGCATCCTCAACTGATGATGCAATTGGGCCAATAACTTCCACAGTCCCTGAACCACACAATGACCTAGAAATAAGAAATTCATTAAGATTAGAAGTAATAGAGGAGACCATTGATAGATATATCCAATTCTTAAAAATCACTCCCTTTTAAATGCTTATCATACTTTTTGAAGTCAAATTTGACTATTAATTACTCTTTAACCAAATTGATAAAAATAATAGAAACATATTGCTGTAGATAAATTGTACTTTCTTAATAATACACCCATATTATCAATACACCCATATTCATAGTCAAAGTTTGACTCGGAAAGTGAAAATTAGTATATGGAAATGGAGGGACTACAACTCAATGATGCAGTGATTACCCTCTCATATCAGTTCTTCCATACGTTGTTTTCAAACCCACGACCCCACACAGGGATGAAGGGATGCGAACTGAACCTGGAGTTCACAAAGTTCTTATCAGTTTCCTAGGTAACATCTTCCTACCAAAAGAGAGCTGTTAGCTTAAAATTTCATTGAGTTATATTTATTATGTTTATAGCAACCTCCACCATCTGTCCCAAGAGAAGCTGAACATAGTCCCGAAGCTACAAGTGCAGCTGGGCCTGATGAAGATCCGCCGGTGTACCTATCATGTGCATGTGGATTTCTTGTTGTTCTGAAAAGAACAAACCATATTTTAGTATCAAATAGAAAGAAGATATTAGATGGGGAAGCATAGAGATGTAGATACTTCGATTGTGAAAACAGAAGAACTTTCAGTATATAGAATTGAAGAAGAAAAAATTATAGTCAAATATGCATTTGACAAAGCAACTTCCACCTCCAGCAACCAGGGTAGTCTAATTTTTGTTGAAAATATCAAGATGCTGAGCAGATGTAAACTGAGTTGATCAAATAGTAGCAGGTCCTAAATGATTGAACTAATGGAGACATATCTGGTGGTGCAAATATGTTACTTATTAATGAAAATTAAAACTCACCCGTAATTAGCATTGTTTCCAGTTGTCCCAAGACCGAATTCATGCATATTTGCCTTTCCAATCAAAATTACACCACAACTGCGCAGCCTAGAGACAGAAACTGCATCCTTCTTAACAGGACGAACTTCATGAAACCATGTTGTAGCACCTGTACCAAAAAAATGCTGAGGCTGAGTTTCATGCTTGAAGATACATAAGTAAATTAACTCTCATTATGATTATACCCTTGGACGGATGTGGATAACAATCTATATCATCCTTGATTGCCATGAAAATTCCATCTAGAACTGATATAGGATTTCCTGCAAAATATACGTCAACGCCTCAGCTACGCCTTAAAATATATTTATAAATTCTAATTCGTCAAAGAAACACATAATGCGAAGACGAATTTACAAGAGCATTACCCTCTTCAAATCTTTGAGTAGAAGCAGCTGCTTGCTTCCTTATATCCTCCACATCACAGGATATGAGTAATGGGGTAGTAGGATTTGTATTATCAAACTCTTCCAAGGTTGAGATTAGTTTCTCAGCAACCTGAGCTCATATTTGATCTTATGTCATGAAAACACAAAACAGTGGAAGGCAAATGGAAAAATAACTACTAATAAGGTATCAGACCTTGGATGGGGTAACAAGCTTGGCACAATAAGCATAAGCAAAATCACGGATCTTCCAATAACGAAATGATGTTGCTAAATTACCATCCCAACAGCCAGCAGGATCATATTCTGGGAGACACTTTAAGGCTTCTGCCACACGGTCCTCAGGGCAACCAGTTTCTTCAATAACAGAAACATTTTGCTCCGGTTCTGAAAGGCATAGTTCAAACTTGTTATATTGAGGTCGTTCACATACTCAAATGGGTACATGCACACCCCTATTTCACTAGTTAAAAGGTTGTCTGCATTCTATGGTTCAGTATCCTTTTGACCCAAAAATAAGGACTGTCATTAGCTACTAAATATCCAATATAGCCCTAATACGATACAAACAATAAGTCTGGTTTCTTCTCTGTGAGCTACCTTTCAGTTGTGATATGTAACATAGCTTCTTGCCACAAAGATACAGGATATACTTATTTTCTATAGCAAAAGCAATGAGATTATGATAGCAAAAGATACAGGTCGTTCACATACTCAAATGGGTACATGTACATCCCTATTTCACTAGTTAAAAGGTTGTCTGCATTATATGGTTCAGTATCCTTTTGACCCGTAAATAAGGACTGTGATAAGCTACTAAATATCCAATATAGCCTTATTACAATACAAACAATAAGTCTCATATTGTCGCTCAATTACAACATTTTATTTCATTGGTTTCTTCTCTGTGAGCTACTTTTCAGTTGTGATATGTAACTTAGCTTCTTGCCACAGAGATACAGGATATACTTATTTTCTATAGCAAAAGCAATGAGATTTATAGGTGTCAGGCACCTCATAATAAGATTAATAACTCCTTACTCACAGGCCAATCCTTTGATTAGAATTCAGGATGAGCTTGTCAAACTGGAGATAATGGATTATAGATGATAGGGGAGTTCACGACAAAAACAAAAAATACAAAAGATGTATAAATAAATAAAATAAATCTTGGAGCAGAAGTTACAACCTTGGGGAGGGAACTCAGGTCTATGCATGGGAATCTCTGGAATGACAGTATTCTTCAGCAGCTATTAGTCATCAATTGTATGATGTTACCACTCTTAGCTTCAAAAGTAGCACTAAAAAGCAAGTTATACATGTTTATATCTGCGGGTAACAAGAAAATACCTCAACCGTATTATTCTTCTTTCTCAGGTAAGAAACAATAAGAGGACCTATGACCGGAGCTTCAAGAATGTTAACAAAGAATCCAAAAGTTGATCCCGTGATATGAGGAGCTGTAAGCCAAAACAAATGTAACATGTAAGCATCTAGGTTATTAAAAGTCAGGTTTCATCATAGTATCAGACAGTCATATTATCCAGCTAGGAAGGCTTATCACAAAAATGCTAAATCAAGGACCATCAAACCAATACTGTAATTGGTCCTATCTTGAATGAGATAGGGAATTTCCAAGGTCTAGGATTATCTACAACAAGAAATGTGACCATATTCGCCAAGCAAAAATTCTTCCTTAAACTCAATTCTCCACAAATTCTTCCTTGAATCCTTGGGTTCTATTAGCCAGTCAAAAAAACATGAGGAATGGAGGATGCAAGCCTTATAGTTTATGTAACCATTAATTTATGGATTCTATTAAAGATCATTCCATCATTTAAATGCAACATGGAAGAGCTTCCACCTGGCCAATCAATGAAAACATGTTGGACATGTATCTTAATCTCACACCGCAAGATCCAGTATGGGCCATTATATTATTGCATTAGCTGTCACAAACTGTTAATTAAGTTGTGTATTGTTATAACTATTGATTACAAACATTCTAGACTCAAATATCAGTCACTTAAAGATGTAGAATCTGTCACATAATATCATACAACAAAATCAGATGCTGATCAAAGATTTTAATTCACAATTTTTCCCACTAGGCGAGGAAAAACAAATAAACATTTAATAGGGAAATGCAAGCATGGATCGTTGGGTTTGAGAAGTGCGGAGAACGGTTCAAGAAGGCTAGGGGGTGCATAGCTTTGGAGTTAAGCTATGGATTGTTTGCTTGGTGCAAAGCAACAATGAAAAGCAGGAGCTGACTTCAAATGAGCATATCTCAAGATCTAGATATGATATTGAGATGATTCAAGTTGGAGGTGATAGCTCGTCTCAAGAGCTTTCCAACGACTGATCATAAGCTCGATTTGGTTAAGAATCGAAGAAGTTATGGCCGTTTTACGAAGAGCTGTCCGCGCAGTGCGGGAGTCCGACCGAACTGTTGAGAAGTTCGATCAAATCAGGTTTTGAGCAGAAGCTTCTGACTTCCCAGAGTTTGACCGAACCTCGAACTCAGGGTAGGTTCAGTCGAACCGGCTACCCCTGTTCCACCGCTGCAATTTCTTTTATTTCGCTCAGGATGTAATCTTAGCCGTTGATCTTCCTTGTACTCTTGCACAATATATACTCTTGTTTTGTCATTGTTAGGAGAGTAATAGGATGAAGGGAAAAATGTAGAAAGAGAAAGAGAGCCTCAATGTAAAACCCAAACACTTAGGGTTTGAGTGTTTGAGAGGGTGAGTTTGGGGTGGGAGCTTTCATGGTGATTGAAAGCTTGTAAACTACATTAATCTTCATCAAAGTATTAATCTATAGTGAATTGGTGGGTTTTTCTCCCGGTTCTCGGGTTTCCCACAGTCATTCTCCTTGTCTCATTTATTACTTGTTTTTCCGTCTTCGTTGTTGTTAATTGTCGTTAATCGCAAACTAGCTAGCACATTCGTTAATCCTTTCAGGATCACCCCCATGAGGATATAAGAGTATATGACCCTCCGCCAAAACATTGTCCATAACATTGTACTCCAAAGAAATATCAATGCAAAATAACTTTATGATCTCGATTTCATCTTTGATTCGAAGATAACTTTTGGAGGCACTTTATATCAGTTCATAAATTCCTTTCCCAAACTTGCTCATTTGAATTCAAGAAGACTTAAGCATGCTTAAATAGTAAATTCTCATAAAACTCTCTAAAACCCTCCACCCAAAATATCATAAAACCTCATCATAATTCATATAACCATTTTATTAGCATCAGATTATAAAAATTCAATTACTTTACTAATAAACTACAATTAACCCTAAAAACAACAATTAACAAACAAAGAACCCACTTCAGTTTCCCAATCAAAATCGAAATTTTATAAATAATGAAGAGAATTAAACCTTCAATCTGCTCATACTGGTATTTGACTTCAGTCAAATCAACTTCATCTGTAGGTGACATCACTCTCTTCTTCACCATTTTCCCTAAAAACGATAATCAACAAACAACCCACTTCATCAAATCATCTAATTTTCAAAAGGGTATCTCAAAATTCAACAGAAAATAATTTTTCTCAAAGCATAAGAATTAAAATATCAAATTTTTATTAAAATAAAATATAAAATAGTAAAAAAAAATATAAAATAGCAAAAAAATAAAATAAAAAAATTATTAAAGACTGTATATTTACCTCAATTAATTAATTCCTCAATTAATCAAAGATTGCAGTTATGATGACGTTGAAAGTTTCAGCTCAACAGAATTTGAAGGCTGTATATGCAAGTTTTTCGAGTCGCTTTCCGCAAATTTAAATGCATTTTGGTAATCTTATTGGTGGGCAGTTATGAATTTGTCCATCTGCCTTTTATTTAAGGCTGAAGTGTCTTTAAACTGAGTGTTTGTTTGGCAGTGGTTTTTTGTTTTTTGATTTTTTTATTTTCAAAATTATATGGTATATGTCATATAATAAATAAAAAATTAGTTAAATTTATTAGAATTCTGATAATTTGGAAAACTGGCAGTAAGAAAGTAGAAATATTTTTTTCTTACTTCCTGTTTTTGGTTTTTGATTTTCAAAAAAATAGAAAACAAAAAACAATGTCAAACAAGCCCTGAAGTGATCAATTTATATTTTTTTTATGCAATTGCCCATTGCATGAGTCCATCCCAATTTGTAGGACGACACTCTTTGGAAGAAATAGTCCAATCTTATTTTCCATCCATCCATCTTAATTTATTTCTATTTGTAATTATTTTGAGGGGTATGTTTTAATTTTGTGGGGTTTACTGAAAATACGTTAGGCACCTAACAGCTTCATATTAAATCTACATAAGTTAAGTTCAGTATATAAGGTAAGTTTTAGAGTGTAATTAGTTTTTTATAAGATCATATAAGTAAAAACTAAGTGAATATAATGCATTTTTTATGGTTTTCAAGAAATAAAATTTTAATATTGTATGTTAGGTTTTAGCTGGAAGTGTCTACTAGTCTTTTCACCTAATATTTTCATTAATTGTTATTGCACCTTCCCCCTTAACCTCTCACACTCACACTAATTGCTTAAAGTTTGAGACTCGTTATAAATTGATGAATATGCTTATCAATACAAGGAATATCATACTTATTATAAATTGATTAATATGCTCATCAATAAATTGAATGTCATTTTTTTTAATAAGTAAATTGATTATTTTGCTCATAATACAAGGAATGCCATTTTTTTTAATAAGTACTTTGTATACAATTAATCCCACGTCATGTTCTTTAGTACGAGGAAAAAAAATTACAAATACATGAAATTTTACCATAAACCTTCACCATATTTGAATGTGATAGTTTGTAACATTTTAAATGTAGCTTATGTGACAAATTGTTTTAAAATGGAGAAGAGTTGAAATACTTAATTAAAATAATTACGATGTAAACAATTTATAAATCAACGTCATATTACACAAATTTCAACATTATGGAGTTATCTTGTTAGTGTTACAGTTATTATTGATCCGTGTTATAGGGGTTATTATTATCAGTGTTATAAGGATTATTTGTCATATTAAGCCTTACTCTATCGATTTAATTTCTTGGTAATTCTATACATTTAATTTTGGATTGTAGAAAATCACTGGTTAGAATTTGTAATCATCATCATCAACAAATCCCAATTTCTCTTTAAAATTACAATCTTTCAATTTTGTAGTAATTTTTACTTGCTTAATTAATCTTCATTTTCTCCTAAATTTTTCAAGCCCTAATTTCAGTTTTCCTACTTCTAACAAGAAGAACGAAGAACGGAGGAAGAAGACAGAAACTGCTGAACTGCGAAAACTTTAGGTATTGAATAGTTTAAATCATAAACAATTCATATTATTTCAATGCGCTTGTTTATTTTATTTAACTCATATTTAAGATTAGACTAAACTAATCTGCATTTTACTGTCCTTTGTGCTAATTGATTGTATATTGGATGAATGGTTGATTAATACAAGCAATATTCGTGGTTGTTGATTGAGCATTTGAGATTGTTGTTATGGATAAGGTTATTGGATGCAAAATCAGAAGATTGTTGTGATAATTTATATTGTATTTCAGATTATTCTTGTTTAATCATCAGAATTGTTTTATGTTGTGAAATAAGGAGTATTAAAGTCGAATTCGCTCTCTAAGGACTGGATTACAGAAGTAAGAAGTGTATTTGGCCGAAATAGCCCGAGTTTTGTTGTAGTTTCGTTGCATTCGATTTCCCCTTAAAGAATTCGAACTTGTGTTATAACTTAAAGATTCCAGTGTTGCTTTTTTGAAAATAGAGTTTGAATTGATTAAACCATGTTGGGATTTATCATGTCTGGCTGATTCAGATGTAAATTAGCAGTATTTTGTTTGTGGTTAGCAGGCCTGATTATACTTTTAGGCTACTATGCATATTGTCCGTGGAACTCTCTTCATATTGCATACAATTTCCCATGAAACAGTGACTGAAAGCCTTAAGAGAGAGGTTGCTGGTTTAGAGAAAATGAAGAAAACCAAGGTTTTTGTGGAACTTCCAGAGTCCAGGTCGTTTCTCGACACAGCTACCATGCCAATGATGCTTACTGCTGTTGGGGTTGCACTTTTTATGATGGTAATTCTTCATTTTCCTCTTGTGGCAAGCTTAACTATTTTTCCTACTAATAATAATGCATCGTTGCACCATTGGGCGTATTTCTATGTTCTCATGAGAAGATTGGGAACGCGTTGTAATTTAATTATTCTGGACAGTCTAATTTGGAAGCATAAGTAACTCTCGGACTCCTCAAGCCTAGGCTGTAGAAATTCATTACTCTCAAACTCCAAATATCCATGAAATATAGGCCAAGGTTTGAGCCTAGGCTGTAATAATTCAACATTTACATTCTGCGGAAACTGAAAAATCAAGTTATCTAACCTACAAAAGAAATGAAGTTTAAAGGGTTGTATCCAACAATTCATGCTATTTATGTAATAGACATATGCAACTGCTGCAAGAATTGTGCAAACAGCCAACCAATAGCATCTTCCTCCTTTTTCCTGTATTGTTGTAACTGGCAATAATACAATAGGTGTCTAAAATTACTGCCACTGACATGCTGGATTCTGGAATAGCCTCTGCATACTGGCCATACCCCACATTCAAGTTGGTTAAATTCTTCCTTAAACTCCATGTTTCCTAAATCTTTGCTCTGAATTTGTTAAAAATAAAATAAAATTGTAGTACTCGAGATGCCCTCATTTTGGGAAAATGGATGTTTAGTTTGTGCCATGTGAACCCATGCATTCTTGACCTGATTTTTTCTGCTCTACCATTCGTGTTGATTGATATGCTTCCAAATGCAAGGGTTTGAACTTTGGATTGTTACTATGAAGCATTAATTCTTGTAACTCATCTTTTACTTGCCATAACTATTTCCTTACGCTTTGTTTGGATACAAGTAAATGGGGAGAAAAGGAGGAAATTCAAGAAGTAGGGAGGAAAACAAATTCTGCTGTTTGGTTAAGGGGTTTGGGGAAGGAAAAGGAGGGATTCATTATTCCTCTTTCTTCAATAAACACTATCCTGTTAAAATTGGAGATATTTTGGGAAAATGGAGTTCCTCCTCCCCACCCTCCCTCCCCAAAACCCCTCCCTCCTTTCCCCGATCCATGATGGTGAATGTGAAGGATTGGGGAATTGATGTCCTTATGGATACTGTTACTCGGGTGGAAGAAAGTGTCAAACATTAACATAATTTGAGGTGATGTTTAAGGGTAAGTACCTCAAATAAAGAGCGGAACTACTTTCTCTCTTACCTTATAAAATTAGGGAGAAAGGCACATTAAAATATTAGCAGTCTCGTGTTAAAATAGGAGCTTAGGAAATGTTGTTAGTATTTAGAAATAGACGAAAGAAACAAGTGTTGCAAATACTCAAGAACGGTGGGAGTATATTACAAGCTCTGAAATTCTTTAATTTTTGTAATTGCAATTGTAACTAGATTTTGTACATTCCCTCTTGACAAATTGGTCGAACAACTTGAACAGACAATATAATTTTCTAACAGCAACCTAGCTAATATCTATGATTTCTACAAGTAGCAATTTTTTTGGTATATTTTATAGCCTTGATCATTTTGCAACAGATTTAAATGTAACAACATCCGAAACTAACTTATACTTGTATCAAACTCAAAGTTATCCAATCCGATCACCCGAGCACACAGATTTAATTGTAACAACAGGCTCAAAAGCATATGATTGAAGATTTTAATTGTAACAATAAGCATAGTACTTATATAGTAATAATTATTTAGGAAGTTGTACAATAAATTTTAAAAAAAAAAAAAACATGATGCTAGAAACACTGAAACAGGTTGATGCAAAAATAAGAGGAGAGAGAATATCGGCGGGAATTGTGTGATTATAACGGAGGACCCAGAACTAATTTAACTGTATGCAGTTGGCCTTTTTATTTTATTTTTAAATTTGCTAGCTGGGTCCTACTCACACTTGCTCCCACCTAGTGTTATTAATGCACATTATCCAACATATAATTATATTTTTAGCATTAAGTATAGTACGAAGTCTTAATTTTTACTAATCCACTTGATAAAATTAATAAATAAATAAAAATAGAAGGGTAAATTTTGCACTTTTGAAGGATTGTTTTTTACTCAAACATGCATGCATCATTAGCATTTGCACATACAATTATCAATTATGTGTCCTATAATGATGGTTCTTTAAACAATCGTTAAAGACTTTAAGCAATATAAATCATGCCACTTGGTTTGCTTTAATTTATCTTACTCACTCTTTGTACTCCTTAAACTAAGTTTAAGAATCTTCCATTTTTTTCCGCTCTATAATATTAATTTTTTTAGGGGAAATAAGTTAAGGTTGATTGTGTTCAGGTTAAATAAATGTTAGCCATACTCAATTTAAAATTAAAATAAAGTTCGATAATTTCAAACAAATCTTGTTAACTTCTTATAAAGAGGTCCCGGTGATCAAAGTGCACCCCTATATGTACTTCGTATCTAATTTGTTTCAAAATTTTAATTAGAGTATATTATGATTGATCTATATTGGAATCCTTAGTAAAAATCTTGTTAATATATATATATATATATATATATATATATATATATATATATATATATATATATATATATATATATATATATATATATATATATATATACTCCAAATTTCTAGTATTTGACATATCATGTTGACCTGTGGAACTTATTCCACGAATATCATATTTTTTGTACCAGATTATAAAATTTTGATTAAGAATTAAGATAAATGGTTGGAATTTATACACCTAATCACATTATGCAACGGTAGTTGGTTATTTAAAATTAAAATACCTTGTGAAAGACATCCCTTCTGTTAGCCACAATATTTTGGCTTTTTGGTGCAAAACTGCAAACTAGTGTTT